AACTCAAAATAATCACATATTTCAGAAATATCACATGAATTAATCTATGTGTAATTTGTTCTCTCAGTTGATAGAGCATCCATTCGCATTTATTATATCTGAAAATGACAGTAAATGTGTTCAATAAAATTACCCCATCATTTCTCTTGCATTTCCAACAGCTGGTCTGAATATGTATACTCAATATGTCAACTGCAGATACGGTGAAAGTAAATAGAATGCCTTTCATGGAAATATCGATTGTACCACAGATTGCATAATACAATTTAGCTACGTATTATACATAATAGTAATGTGGTTTTCGTACACAAAAATCGATTCACAATAATACTAAATTCTCTAACTAAATATGATGTAGTACGAAAGTTAAATACTCGCAGAATGTCGGCCCTGTACGTTTTGTGCCAATTTCTGCCTCTAATTGGGTCATTCATAATTACCATTCCTCCACATTTAACACCTTAGACGTGTCACAGAACGGCAACTAACTCTCTGGCTCTAAACTAGTCGGTGGCTATAGGACTTCCTTCAACTATATGTTGCTTACTAGTACTATCCTAATAGCATGTAATGTATATATCAATTTATGAGAAACACTTCAAAATTATGGAATTATTTAACTTTAAATATTCCACTGTACTGATTCGCTAAAACACTGGTTTAAGTTCTTTAAAAAAGTAGCTATTGGACAACTGTTTATAAACCTTCCAAATTAAGGGATCATATTATAATAACAGCTAGACTTAGTTATAATGTTACTGCGTCTCTTAAATTTCACGTAGGCCTACATACAATCTTTCTAAATCTAGATTCTAGAACATCCATCTTTTACTTTAATAATTGTAGAACACACTTTCGGCATTGTCTAACTGGTTGTAGTATCTCTCAGCTGAAACTATTGACAAAATCTTTGAAATTACTTAATTTTATCTTATTCACAAATACGCATTTGTTGTTGGAAGGTTTTCTCATTTTTTTTCTATGTTTTAAAAATTACTGCGTACCTGTACAACACCAGACTATGTTTGTAAACTTAAAGTAAAAGCAAATTTAAACACAGACTTGGTTACAATTGCAGGTTCAGCAGAGTTTACGTCTGAAAACCCGAATAAACTTAGTCCATTGTTTATCTATGCGGGAGACCTGTTTTGCCGTAGACCTGTAACCAAACAAAAGTGTTTTGGTAGTTGAACAAACGGCTCACAAAAACAAATAAACAATTTCTGTACAGTCACGAGTCGCTATTTATTTATTTATTGATATAAATGTAAATACGCGGACATGTTGACTGCACCTTGCTACAGAACGAAAAAAATATATATATGATATAATGTGCTTATGTCATATTTGTTATTACCAGTTTAAAGTAGGTCAGTCAAGGCCTAAGCTAAAGCCAATTATAATAAAGCAGATTAACACGCAGAAAAATTTGATTTAGTTCTTATAATATTTGAGTTGTAGTCTAGGTAAATGAAGTACTGACCTGTATTTAATCAAATGTAATATATATTTGGATTTCGACTTACGACTCGAGAGATATTGGGATATACAACCGAAATGCATTCAGACACTTGTGTATAATTAATTTTTGAATTTACCCAGGTACGTTGAATTGCTTCGAGCAAACAGTATTAGCTAGAGATGAAATTCGGTGCATTTTACTATTTATTGTCAATAGCTTTATTGTTTTACTTGAATAGGTTCGCTTGAAATACAATTATAACTCCACGCTTTGTTGACAATTTTTGTTTTTCATTTGCTCAAATTTTAGTAAATTGTTACTAATTCTGTGCTATGATTTACTAATCAATAGACGTCCGCTGCACTATCTTATCATACTAACATCGAATCTTTTTTATCTAAATTAACTTTAACTGGAAGGAAAGCGGCAATCAACTGTATAACATTACATGATAACGTATAATGACATGCCTAGCATTAGATACCCTATCTCAAACATCCTAATTATAATATTTCAATATCAGTTTATGATTAGATGCGATTTAACGTGAGCGATATTTTTAACCATTAATGTAAATAGCACCTATGTGTGAAATATTGTTCAAATAATTTTACGAGGTTGTTTCTCATTTATTAATTATTTGTTGATATCATAGAATATTTTTATCATATTGATAGCCTTACACAACAAGCCTGAAACATATATGGCATGTTCTTATGTTTGATAAGAAACAGGGGCACACACATGGCCAGTTTAATTTGAAAATTGGAAGTACAATTTAGTAAATATATCAGCGACATGTTAAAATATAACAGTCGCTAAACTTTGATTAGCACTTTATAAACAATATAAGAGGTGTTTGTTTTCTCACAGAAATGAGGGCGATAATACGAAAGGTGTCATTTTACCAAATTAGCGCGCTTTCTGGATTAAATTTGCTATCGATTTACCTCTTCGGATAATTAACAATAATGTATTTGGAGGACCTGAATTTACCTTTCAATTTCTAATATAGTCAATTAGTTAGGACGAAATCATGACTGGTCACGGCGTATTAACCAAAATGGTTACCGGCGCCACATTCTCATCTATCGCCCAAACTTGTTCAACTCTAAGGTAATTTACGTTGACATAGGGAATGGGAATATTACCTGTAAGAAATTACGTATTCTGTTTCAAGTGGGATTTTGGAATTACCCTGCTTTTCTAAGTACTGTAATTGTTTCAGAATTACTATATGTTGTAATAAGCAAGGATTACTTCTTTTTAATTTCATGTGAATGAATAGGGGCGTTGGAGTAATGTGAGTTGGTCGATTTCTGCTCCGGTGGGATTATAACACCGGTCAATTATCTTTACAGATAGGTTATTGTGATTATTGTATTGCATATTAAACGACCTTGATGTTGCGCATGACATATCGCCCATTTCCTTTGATTGCAACATTAAAGGCGAATGAATATACGATAATCTCAGCATCAGATTGCATGTGGATGGCATATTCATGCTTATACTCCGGAAATTGGTCCACCTTGTCCGCTTGCTTCCGCTGCAATATGTGATTTGCATTAAACGATATTGTTGCGATATTACCGCCATTTGATCGTACCGCGGTTCATGGATTAGTCTCCACTGCAGTGGAACGTTTAGTCTCCACCCTTGGGTAGCGACGTGCTATAATCCCGCGGTCGGAATTTTAACACCGCGGTAAAGGTACAGAAACCGTCAGGTATGAACAGATGAATTTTATGAAATGTCACATTGCTATATCCACAAATCCGCCAATTACACCCGTCTGGCTGCGAAAATGAATCATCGTTTTTATTTGAGTGTTAAGTTTTCCTTTTATGGAAATCACGTTGTAATTACGTCATTGAATATTCCACCCGCGTAGTATAAGGTTCATACCGGGTGTTCCCAGTTTTGTGTTATTCTCAACTTGCTTGCCTACCGAGATAAAAACTTTAAGCATGGACTATTCGAGTTTCGCGAAATATATTATTCCAGGGTAGGGAATTTTACTAGCCATGCTCAAGAGCCCTCGAATTAACTCTGTCATACAAGGTTACGGAAACCTAAAAGTTTGATTATTTCAATTTGGAACATCAATCGAAAGGTTATTTCCGCACTTATTCCAACTATAGTACCGAAATATCTTTTGATAATATCGCTATTAGTTACATCAATGTAATCCCGGACCTTCATTGAAAGCACATTAAAGATAACATCACCGATCGGTAAACAGGGTTTGTTTGCGCATGCACCCTATCGGCCAGACCAATAAAAATATATCAAGAACCTGTTCCTGTACGCATGGCCCAACGGAGATATGTCTTGTAGCAAGTTATCTTATGTTATTTTAAGAAATCGTCCTTTTAGTATTTATTAGCAGGTATAATGTAGTTAAATTATATTCACTGTGGTCCGTTGAGTGACAAGTTATACCCTCTCATAGCTCAATTGTAATGAGTTCATTAAGTTAGGATGTTCGTTGAATATATTAGATAGTAATAATTACATTAGCAAAAGATATATACTGTATAGAATTGCAAAGGAGTGATATGAATTTTGTATAATGAAAATTGATAAGGTTTGACTTCCTACAAGAATTTGGTTTATTATGCGTACAATGACACAAATTAGAGTTGCATATCCGACAATGATACAATCTATTTAGTGATAGATTGTACCTGCTCATTAGCAAGTGCACGAGCCATGAAGTCTGATCGAAGCATAATTTAAGAACAATAAAGGCTAAAGACTCGTGTCTTCAGTTAATTAAGGGGCACATATTGAATAAAATATGTTGCTTTAAAAATACAGGAAGCACAGCAAAACTATTGAGATAGTGTCGCGCTGCGGGAAACGTAGCGATAACGAACAGACGTTCGCCTTGCCTCATTATGCGACGCTAAGTTACAAAGCGCCAGAGGGAAAAAAGCATCGATATAATAGTTAATGAAAGAATTAATGACGTCGCGTTTTTCTTTCTCTCGTTTTGCGTCATATGACGAGTGATATGATTGGTTGAGAGCGTTAGACTCCCGCCATTCTACACGCCGTGCACGCGGCGCGATTGTTCAAATGGTGTTCACGCTTATTCCAGTCGACTAGCGGCATGTTTTCATGGGTTTATTACGTGTTGGTGACGTCAGATTCAATCATTTGTGCTAAAATGACGTATGGTGTCACATTGTACATTACTTAGATCAGAGGAATGTTGCTAACAGTTTATGAAGATTAGAATTATGAGACAAAAAGACCAGTCCTAGCGTATAATTTTATAATCAGATCAAGCAGTTTTCAGATACCACAACCGTCGACTCTAACGGCCAGGTTTTCGTACATTCTGGATTATTAAAATGTACAGATAGGACGGGCTCAGTGAAAACTAGCCTACAGTTTTATGAGAATGGGTTGCGGTATTAATATGAAAACACAATCGTCTGAAATATAGTCCAGTAGCCAGTGTCTATAGTACTGTAGTAACGGTACCGTACAACTTTGACTTACGGACTTCAGGACTTATCTCTTTATCATATACTTTTGATAAAGTTTTAAATAAGGTGATATCTAAATGTACATCAATATATTTCAGTTTAATAATGTTTATTTATATTGTTTAGATCTTATATTACCGTGATATCAGTAAAATCAACTCTTGCGTGACATTTGAACTTTACACACTCTGAGACAAGGGCAAAAGAATCAAATATCATCGGAATTACTTGCATCGGATTTATAGAACTGCCGTTATGTCTTTTGCACTGCCATGTGCCAGTCCATCAAAGGATTTACCTGGATCAAATAGTATCAGAATGGCATTGGATTTTAGTGATGATGGATTCATGGATGACGACTCAGGTAATTTGCTATTTCTATATAGACTAGATTTATTGCAAATAACAACAACAATATTGTGTTTCATAAAAGCAATTCATTGATCTGTTGATTGGGAATTTTTTGTTAGTTAGGCCTAACGTTATTACTTACGGTATTCATGTCACAGCAGCTCAGTTCTGCTGTTCACTTTTCAATAATTGGCTATATGATATTACCTCATTGACTAACCCCACGCTTTTTTATTAGGTATGCAATTGTCTTTGACACCATCACCTGACTCAATGAAAAATAGCCGTCGAGAATCAGTTCACCTTCCCCGGCAAAACGTTCACTTTTCTCTCCTCCTAAATCTAAAGTTAGTCGTTGTGAAGGAACACCAATCAGCTCAACAACACATTCTCGAGTTTACGAAGAATGTTACACAATAATAATGAAGATGATTTGAGGAAAATTTGTGCTTTGAATGCCATGGAATCAGCCTCTGAAGATGAAGAATTTCATTCACCAGCTTTGAGAAAGCTTCCATTTTCAAGTTATTGCGATCGTAGAGATTCTGGAAATGTTTCATACGATGAAAATACACCAGCGAGTTCATCCAGCATTCGCACATCGAATGTTCTAGAATTTAACTCTTGTAGTAGTGGTGATGATAACAGTGACAGCAGTTTCTCTTCTCCAACCAGACCCAGCAGCAAGCCGCTATGTATTCCATCTCCAAAACAATCACCAGCATCATCATCGGGCGTTTCTGGTTGCTCACCAGGTCGGTCACCTCCAGACACTCCACCACACACAAGAAAACTTCGAGAGCTCACACTCTTTGATTCTCCTTCCACACCAAAAACTCTTTTACGCAAAATGCGTTCCCGAAAACCAGCTTTACCTAAACCATTACAATTTTCTTATTCTGAAAACTGTCCCACACCAGTTCCACCACCAAGTCCAACCAGTGCTTTCAAGTCGAGAAGTCGTCTTCGTATGTTGCGAATGGATGCCGCACATTCAACACCTTCAATGCCAAGAACTTTTAGAATAAGCGCAGATGGAACAGACAACACAGATGAAGAATGTGAGATAATTCGGGGTTCAAAGAGCTTACCCAGGTTTAATAAGTTCAAAGAACCCACTACTCCATCTGTAAATGTAAACCCATTTACACCCGATAACAGACCAAAAAATTCAAAACGTTCAAGAACTGGAAAACAAAGGAAACATTCTTTTTGTTTGGATGACATAGACGAGGAAGATGAAATGAGGCCTGCCAAGGTAAATAGAACATTTTTTCTGTATTATATATTCATCATGAGTCTCCAGAGTTTAAATAGTTATGTCTAATTGTTGCTGTACTTTTCCATTCCTAAATTGACTTTTTCTATTTTCAGAGAATTCATTTACGTGAAAACAACATCTCTCGTTACCAACAAGAATTTCACGAAATTGGAAAAATTGGAGATGGCGAGTTTGGTTCCGTTTTTAAATGTGTCAATCGTCTTGATGGGTGTGTTTACGCAGTAAAAAGATCAAAGAAACCTCTTGCTGGATCTGTTGACGAGTAAGTTCATTAATGATATTAAAACATCGTATTAGTTTATCTTTTGGTTTACTTTATTAAACATTTGAATTAACTCGAGCAAATACCATACACTGAGATCTTTTAATTTTGCAATTGCTAACCTTGTGTTTTTTTTACTTGCAGAGCAAATGCTATTCGTGAAGTCTGCGCTCATGCTGTCCTTGGAAAACACAGACACGTTTTCGTTATTATTCAGCTTGGGCAGAAAATGATCATATGCTCATTCAAAATGAATATTGTAATGGCGGAAGCCTGGCTGATAGCAGCAAAGAATCAACAAGAAGGCGAAAAATTCTCTGAAGAAGAAGCAAAAAATCTTTTGCTGCAAGTTTCTAAAGGACTTAAATATATACATTCACAAAATTTGGTTCATATGGACATTAAACCAGGAAATATCTTCATTTGTAATGAAAAGCAGAATATTTCACTGGACTCTCATCAGAGTGAATTAGATAGCGAAGACGAAGAAGAAAAGGTGACAACAACAAGGAATGCCTGTTTATAAAATCGGAGATCTTGGTCATGTTACTTCAATTGAAGACCCACAAGTTGAAGAAGGCGATTGTCGTTACCTGGCTAATGAAGTTCTCCAGGAAGAATATTCACATTTACAGAAAGCTGATGTCTTTGCACTTGGTGTTGCAGTTCATGAACTTGCTAGTGGAAGAACGCCTCCCAAAAATGGCAGTTCATGGCACAAAATTCGTAACCAAGGCCTCGAGACACTCACTCACTGCTCAGATGAGTTCAATAAACTTTTGCAAAGCATGGTTCACCCCATCGTTGCTCATAGACCAACCGCAGCAAGCCTCACACAACACCCTCTCCTATGCCCTGGTTCTTCAAAATCAAAAGACCAATTGAGAAAAGAGCTTAACCAAGAAAAATTCAAAAATGAAATACTCGCAAGAGAGTTGGAGGAAGCAAGACAAAGTCAGCAAGAATCACAATTTAACAAAACCCATTTGGAGGCCGAAGGGGAATGTCAACTGGATTACGCAAAAATTTCAGCAGTATGCGAGGCGGAAAAACTAATAGACTTTTAGGTAAAAAGACTTGTCGCAGTATGAGCATGACTTCAATTTATTAATTTGTTTCCTATTTCATTAATTATGTTCTTTCATTTCTGCCCTGCCTAATGTTCTCAAAATTATGTAAATATCCAGTATTGCCTTATTTTTTTCTAAAACTTACGTCCTTTATTTTTGTTTAGTTAATGTTTTACATGTGCGCGGTGTGGTAGATCTTTTTTTGTTTTGTTTATTTTGTGCAGTTGTGACCACCGCCAGGCGACACTATATTGTTTTTTTGTTTCGTTTCTGTTTTCTTTTTTTTTAAATACTAAGTTTCATTATTTACTAACAGATAAATGTGTTTTATTTATTTTATACTATCATCATGGTTATGCTGCATGTGCTTTTCCATTTTAGTGCCTCTAGTAAATGTTTTGCTGCCTATTTGAACTTAATTTGATTTATTTTCATCTTCATTCATACGATACAATCCTGCCCAATAAAAGTAATAAAACCAATCATAAAAAATTGAGGTGACTTTTTTCTTTTATTTTTCCAAATGTTCCTGAACTTTGTTGTAATGAAGTTTTGCATACGAGCTCTACTGTTTTTAGAGCTTCTGCGCTTCCTACTCTCTCATTGTGAATGCCCGAATTTGATGCTCCAATCAAAAACTAGCCAACAAAAATAGCTATTGAATGTGCCTATGATAATCATTGACGATTTTTATATCATTGGCACTGAAAAAAAATTTTGAATTCTCCGAAATGGTTGAACTAAATCATTGGAAAACGATTTTATAAACTGATTTTTTTCAATTATGCTTCCTTGTTGTTTCAAATTAAGCAAAATAACATTTGCAACTTGCTTAACACAGTGAAAAAAGCGATTTTGTATGAAAATAATGATAAATGTGAGTTTTGGTAACTTACTGTTTTATCAGGTTATCTAAAAATTTTAGCAACAGTTTTATTGAAAATGAAGTTATTTAATATTGCTTTTATTAACTATCATTTTCGATATATAGGAACAATATTCATGCAATAAAATCAAGTGTTCGGCACTTTCTGAGATTGTTCGTCTTTTATATACTTAGTTATGTGCAGGTATATTCTTATTAGATCTTTACCCCGCCCGACCTGTCGCTCATGTATATATACGCATATAGCCGTGCATTGATGATGCGCATGACCAGGTCGGCCGGCTCTGTATGCAATATTTGGCTATTTGTCTGCGAGAAACCAAGTAGCGTATTTGACGTAAATTCCACCTGGCGTATATAATACAGAAATGGCATTAGCCCATTTTTCGAAAACAGCCTGTTGCCCTGCCCAAAGGATAATTTTACGCAGATGGACTTCCGAGAGTATTATTTTATAGAGTAGCTTTTGCTAGAGCAGTGTTTCTTAATCTGAGTTCGACCGAACCTCTGAAGTTCGGTGGGGCTGTACCAGGGGTTCGACGAATGTCCTGTAAAATTGTTGTGTATTATGAAGTATTTCTATTTCCAAGCAAATTAAATATGTAAAATAACTAATTTAAAGCAGATATCCAAAATTTCAACATTCAGACCAGTCGCAGAATAGCTTATTTATGTGTAGTATTACGCAGATAAAATGTTTTATAGGGGATAGAGAGGACAATGAGAGACGATGTATGGCCTCATTTTTAGATGCTTTCTGACTTCTAAATATTATATCTAAGGTTGTTATTACAAACCACGCGGTTTTGAACCTGAATATTTTGCGTAAACGACATGTTATTTAACCTACCTATTTATAATCTACTAATAAAACGTTAGCTCAATTATACGAACAAGTTGAATATAATAAGTGCACATGAATGAATGAACGAACAAGTCACTACTGGTATCGTCGATGAGTCTGTATAGACCAGTGGTTCCCAACCTTTCTACACCGGCGGACCGGTAAAATTAAATTAAATGTACTCGCGGATCGGCGGACCGGTAAAAAATTGAAATGATTGGAACAGAAAAGAATACATATATTTGCGTAATACAATACATTGTCGGGCACTCAATATGCATCTAGACAAAAACTTAACCTGACACTTAAAAACAGCTCACACGAAGAAAAAACTATCAAATGTGGCGGCCAAAAATTGAATTGGGTGAAACATAACATAATACCATATTATATTTGCGTAATGAAATGCAGTGATGGGCACCCATTATGCGTAAGAAAGGCACACATAAAACATCTCACATAAAAAACATGTACATGCCAAATCATGTACAAAACGCAATTAACTCTAGTGAGAATTTTGCTTTCTATTTAGTTTCCAATATAGGATTGCAGACGATGCCTCAAGGAAGTTTCTGCAACACCGTGGGCAGCCAATTTCCTCGCTTCGCTTTAATTAAAGCTAGTGATGAAAATTATTTTTATATATAATTAATGAAAATATGATTAACCTCGTTGAAAATAAGGACAACAGTTTGATTGCTCGATTACTTAGCGATGGGTATTTGTTTATCGAGAGAATATATATCCAAAATTGTGACAGTGATTCTTTTTTTAAATTTGGACTGTAAAGTGGAATCACAATTTGAATCAAGCTTTTTCTTTTTCATCTGGTTTATCATATTAATCCTCTGCAGTTGATCGATACTTCAAACGAAATGAATTTACATTACAATGGAAAAGTCGTCGGTAACTTGGCACCAGGCTCAAAATCCTACTTTGTCTGCTCAAGATACTGGAAAAGATGTCAGCGGCTCATGCGTTTTTGCGCGCCTCGTGACCACCTGCCGTATTTTACTGGAGTATTATACTTCTCTTGACTGTTTTCTGGTTTGAACAAAGAAATATGCATAACGTTTTATTTGGATGGTCATATTAATCAGGAAAAGCATGCAGAACAGAAAGAGCACGCGTGCCAATTTTTAGGTTTCTGAATCTTGCGAGAATTGATGGAGCGCATTCACGATTAATCGGAGCCGAAAAATCAAAAAGTGTGATTTCTCGGCGCCAAGATGTCAAGGAAGACGTCGCAATATGACGGCGGAAGAGAAATTGCGTAATACACCAAGGCAACCTCGTCTTCGGTAAAGAGATCGGGGCGCATTCGAGATGAATCGGTGCCGAAAAAGCGAAAAGTATGATTACTCGGCGCCAAGTTGTCGCAATATGACGGCGGAAGAGAAATTGCGTAATAAACCAACGCAACCTCGCCTTCGGTACAGCGATTTAGACGGCATAAAACAACAAAACACCGAAATTTCCCGCGGACCGGCACCGGCGGTTGGGAACCAATGGTATAGAGTAGACAACCGAGTTATATCCCAAACCTTCAAAAAACGTAAATCCAAATCAGCCTGGTTCTGTGTCGGCGGTATATTAGAGGTTAGCGAAGATTTCATGAACAAAACGGGGAGAACGTGGGCTACATTACTTCAGTGAACGTCGGTCCAAATTGAGCGCCGTTAACTAAGCTTTGAACTCTTACAGTTCATTTCGTCATTTTCATTTTCTATAAGCCCCACTGTGTTATTCGAACACAACATTACCGTTTGTTATTTTATTGTGAGGGTATCCACCAGCTTCCTTTATATCAGTAATGGTAGGCCACGTTAGTTAGTCATTTGAGGATCTCCTATGTTATGCGTGTATTTTTGCGCACGGCTACCTATATCTGTCGCAACGTATCTTTTACTATACTATTTGTCATGTTTATCTTCCCTTGTATATTCTGCAGAAACTAAAGAAAGAGGTTAACAGGCACATTAATTGTAAATACAGATTGTTGACTGTGCGCTTTACGCGAAACACCACGCTGCTCATACACTGTTGTTCGTCAAGTGAAGTAATCGGCAACACGCTGTACGACTATTGCTAGGTACCGTATATGTCGCAATACCTCGTCCGTGTTATACTCAGACCTGACTAATTTAGTCCGCTGTTGAAGTGATTTGACAGACATCTTTTGGTCGCTGATAAACTGATACTTAACAGGCCTGCAACATGAAGGTGATTGTGGCTGGTTACCCCAAAACGGGAACAAAATCTATGAACTGGGCTCTCACCAGATTGGGTTACAAAGTCTATGATTATCCCGAGAACGTGTACTTGCTGCAGAAGGAATACAAAAGATATTTACACAAGGCTGGACGACGGAGGATTTCCGGAGAATGTACGAAAATGTTGACGCAGTCGTTGATATACCAGCGTTCTATTTTTGGGAAGAAATTCATAAAGCTTTTCCCGACGCAAAGGTAGGCCTGGCGATTCGATTTATTGAATGCAATTTTTTAAACTAATTTTTGAACTCCTGGAAATCAAAATTGGCAACTGACCTATTCGATTCATACCTAAATTTCGAAATTAAAAACTGACAAATAGCTAGCAAACAACGAAAACGAGCTGATTCTCTGCACACCTGCATGGCTGAAAAGTGAAAACCTGTCTAAGTGAACAGTGTCTGAGCGACTGCTAAATTTTCAGTCGTTGCGTCCTTGTCAACAGTGAATTAAGCAAGAGAGTAGATGCTCAGGTAAACGTTTATTGATAATTCGTCTGGCTATTTTTATTGTTCTTTGAAGCTGCGACCTTTATCCAAATCGATTTTCCATTTAGTCAACGGCTGTGAAAGTCCGAACGTTGGCTTTGCATACCAAAATTAATCATTTTCCAAATGTATTTATGCTTTCAATACTTGTTTAGATAATCCTGACCCTGAGAGACAGCGAGGAAGAATGGTTTCAAAGCATGAAGAATCTCGTTGACGTTGGAGAATCTAATATTGCACTCAGAGCACTTGAGATTTTGTCTCCCACACAAAGAAAGACAATGAGAGATGTTACCAATTATATGGGCAAGTTTGATTCTTTATTATTAAGTTTTCATTGCATTATATTCAGAGATTCGCAGGTTTCAGTTGATATAATTGATTCCCAACTATCATTAAAGAGAGTAATATTCACTATTCAAAAACATCTGTTGATGACCTACCAGGAGATAGTAATTCATTATATATTGCTTAACATAACGGGATCTAGCTGAAATCAACTACAGTTGAGCGAGTTTGTCAAAATACTCTTAAAGTTTTTTTTTATCATCAAACTATAGGAATAAATCCCCCAAACCCCCCCATACCCATGCTTTTAATGACAAAGAAGACAATTCAAAATCAATCTGCAGTGAAAATGCACTATCAGTTTCATTCTTTATCGTAAAGGTCCTACAATAATGGGAATTCAGAATCAGTCAAGTTTGAGACGAAAAGCTCATTTAAATGGATCCATGTTGAAATTAAAGTACCGGAACCATAATTCATCCGTACTTCAGGTTGGTGCTATTGCTATATAATTATTTTATTTATAGCACAATTTGTTACAATAATAATTCTCGTTTTCCCGTGCCCTTTTTGTATTGACATTTGCTGCAAATTTATTTCATATTTTACATTGGTATGATTTTGCTAAAAGTATATTCAAGACCAAATAACATTTATAGGACTTGGAATAGAGTAATTAAGTCATCATTTAATACGTACTCAATTTCTATACCTGTGTGACTGTGGACTGGGGTATGTAATAAACTGGGCACGTCGATACTACGAAAAAATAAATGATCATTTCAGACCAAGTGAATCCGTCTAGTCTAGGGGTGGGCAAATTACGGCCCGCGGACCTGGTATACTCACACCACTTGCTAAATTTTCAATGCTATTCAATACATCTCCTGCGACATGTAACTATTTCATTACATCAGTGAAACAACATGCAGGCAATTGTTTATTCATGTTAGTTACTTGCAAATAAACCGTTTTTCAATCATCTTGAGTTTTGAACGTCCAGCCCAGTAACCAATATTATTATCTGTGAGTGGCCCACTTAGGAAGGTAATTGCCCACCCCCGATCTATGCCGTTACGTTTACCAGCCAATGTTGGAGCAAATTTATATCATAATTTCAATCTAAATACCAAAATGCCACAAACATATTTATATATTCGAATTCTGAATTACAATGCACGTTTGTAAACTCAATTTTAGGGAATTCTTTTGAATCAGGCATTAGGTATAATCTGTAAATGCCCCAATGTTATCTCCATGCCCTGACTGTTTAATTTTCAATGACAATGGTGTATCTGTCTATATTTTAGAGAGCGCCGAAGGATAAACTACTAGTTTACAAGTGTTCTGAAGGCTGGGAGCCTCTGTGTAAATTTCTTGGTGTTCCAGTTCCAGAAGAACCATTCCCGCACAAAAATAAAGCAGGGAATATTGTCGGCGAGATTTTGGAAACAAACGCAATTTATTTGCGCATGCAAAGGGAATTACTCTTTTCTTCAATAGCTATAATCGCTGGATCCATAACATTAGGGTATTATACATACAAACTTGGGCCTCTTGGTGTCTGTAAAGGGTTGGTAGAATCAGTCACTGATATGTATGAAAAATTTTCAACATTTTGGTGAGATTAATAGCATCACCCCGTAGTAAATGAACAAATGTTATTTAAAATTTCATTTTTAATTTGTGGGTAAATCTGATTTGTGAATAAAGTTAATAAAACTCACATTATGGTGCTATATTGCAGGGGTGAGCAAGGTTTTTAGACCACGGTCGCCAAGTAGATTGGCGGACCATGTAAGTGTGACATTTTATGAACAATATTTACAGTGTTACAAAAGAAAAAGTAGAAAAGAATAAACCTCGTGCCAAAACTAAATCGCAATCCCAACATATTCCTTGAGCTATTTTTAAAATTTGGTTGTGGCAGCATCAGGCGGGCCAGATTGAATTGCCCAACAGGCCTGATTTGGCCCGCGGGCCGTAGTTTGCACATGTCAGTACTAGAACCACTAAAGTTTATTTTTTGTGCCAAGTTTTTGTACAGGACCACAACCGGTTCAAAATAGTGACTGCAATACGCGAATCTGATGGTGGCCCATAAAGTAGAGGAACAGAACAGAAAGCAGCAAAAGGGGACCAGTTTACCTGAATGGTGAATGTTTATGTGAGCAATGTTTATTATAAACTAAAAAGAGAATTAGGATCTAACAAAATATTATGAATTTGAACATTTTTCATCAACGTCGATTTGCTGCCCGACGGGATGCAGTCGGAATCAATCATACTTGAGTAAGAACTATGACCGGACTGGTTCGTTTCTGATCCGTTTACTTGGACCACAATAAGTAGATTTACACCTACACTAAATATTTCATTAAGATATAAGCAGATACTACTCGGGAATGTTTACGTATTTCTTTATTGAATTTCGATAAGTGGGGGTTTTCAACTCATCGAATCCACCTATGCTACTGGAATTAGAAATATCCAAAGATCATGAATGATACTTCAATCCAAAATACGTTATGTAGCAACTATTTTTCTAAGAATCTTAAACTCCAAACTACTCTCATTCTGAATTTTGGTATTCATGGTTCGATAACAATAAATAAATGTCACTAAATTTTTACACAAATATCACATCGCAATATCCCACTGTGTGTAGTTGTATTTTTATAATTAATTGGAGCTGAAACATATACTGTTGAGCTATAAAAGCCAGACGTGTATTAATTTTAAATATTACTGAATGGTAATGATGACATTTATCACAGACGGAACTGCTAAGCAAGAAGTTTTCTTTACTTAATCTTCTAATCTATTACATGTACTGTCGCATGGAAAATTGTTCGGAAATTTGAAAGACTTCGTTTTATCTGGAAAGCGGAAGTTTGTTAGACATCGTAATATAAACATGAGACAAATAGTCTCGAATATTATCGTTGTGCTGTATTTGAATACGATTTATTGGACACGAAATGAACCTATGGAGCTACTTCTAACCTAATTCATTATGATAATGTGTGTGGTGACATCAGAATTAAAAATAGCGTGTCGTGGTTCCGTGATCACATCTTAGTGATCTGGTGGTAAGACTGGAACAGATTTGATACTACTTTGTTTTGGCTTTCGTGTCCTTATATTTGAGCATTGATCTTTTGTATTCTTCTTGTGCTATTTTCTACTGATTTTAAAATCCAACATCTGTCAGTATTCGGTAGATGTGTGCTGCTTAAGGTTGCGTTTTTTTGCGGTTTGTAATAAGCTCTGCTGCACTTACTATGTTATTCACCGCAATCACAGAAATTTTCTTTCAATTTGTGATTTCGACATATATCTAGTTTATTTTCAATCAAAACCAAAAAACATTGCAATCTGGTCGAACTAAATTAGGGAAACATATGTAATCTAAAAAGAAAACGCATTGGCACTTTATTTACACAGATACCGGGCTTTCAAGGAACATTAGTTTACACGCAATCATGCATAAAAAGGTTAAAATTCCTATTCATGAGCGTGAAACGAATATGCCTTGAATGTCTGGTGACATTGCCAAAGGTATTTAAATATCAGGCATGTCGTAGCCATTTTGGAAGCCCTCGTTTTCCGCATCTTTTACAATCGATTCTGTTGCCGTGGTTGTGGATTCTTCTGCCTCGGAGACATCCGTTGTGGCATCTGCAGTGGTGAAATCTTCGTCAACTGATGTAGTTGCTTCCGCTTCTGTTGTACCGCCGGTGGTTTCTTCTGATAAAGTAGTGGCCTCCACCCATTCCTCTGTAGAAGTGGTGGTCTCGCCACCTTCAACTCCCTCAGATGTCGTAGTTTCATCATCTACAAAAGTCGTGTCTTCTGTTGCAGTAGACTCTGTAGTGAAGTCCATTGCCGTGGTCTCTTCGCTTTGTGTCGTTACTTCTTCTTCTTCATATTCATCGGTTTTGCTGCCGCTCACTTCATCGAGAAATTCTTCCAATGTAGCTTTCAGGTTCTAAAATGTATATTTTATGTCATTCATCACTTAAATAGGTATTTGCCGTATAGTTTCGGCAATTTTGAACGTTTGAATCAATGTCCACCATTAGGAAACTTTATTATGCATTGTTAAGCACAGTCATCGGTGAGAATTTGATTAGAGTGAAACCTAAACCTTAAAATGTTTATTAAGGCTATTCGAGATTGCGATTTCAATTTGAATTACCTCAAATAAATAGTTTTACGCTATGTTTCAGCATAGCTTACAGAGAGGTATAAATTATAGATTAAATCGTTCCAGCGTTTAAAATAACGGGGCTAATGGCCAAGCAAATTTATTGTTTGGTTGAAATAGCAATGGGCGGAAACTTATTATAACAAAATGGCAGCGTAAATATGATTCAGTGTTTGACTTGTTTATAGTAAATTGAGTTGTAGTTTATTGAATAACAAACTCAAATTGAAAACTATCAGACTGTTATTGGCAAAAATCGTAAACTTAGTGTTGGCGTCCTTACTCGCAATCTTGGCGATGCCCTGGGGCGTATTATTGGTATTTTTGTGCTGATTGTGTGATATGCGTCAGAGGAAATAGACAGCAGTGTTATCATCTTTTCTAGAGAAAGTTTTCTCGGTGTTTTGATTTGATTGTATTTATTGATAGACATTTATAAAGATATCTATACGATGACTTCATATTGAAAATGCGGTTTGCTCTAATTGCAAATCCAACGCACATTTAAACTTTATTACAGATGGAAAACATCAAAGAAAATATACCAGGAATCTCTAAATACTAAAGTAAACGAGGGAAATTAAAATAATTTCACAAAAACTAATTCAAATGTTAACCAATTTAATTCAAATATTCCCCATGCGAGGATTTTATATATTAACGATACGAATTCAGTATCACAGCAATTTAAATACCGAAACATAATTAAAACCTTAATTAATTTCAATTACTAAACCTAGAAATTTTAGCTTACTTCAAACGCCGCAGTTCCATATTGTTCTTCAAAAGCTTTGAAAACCGCGGCCTCATTCTAGAGGAAAAGAAGCAAGAATATAATTCATTCATCTGCAACACTAAGCAAAAAATTTAACAATAACAATATACTTGAAGTCCTTAATACAATTCACTCAGAATATAACATAATTGGAACTATCGCGGTGTTTACATATTAAAGTAAATTATTAATGAAAAATCATAAGCACATAAAATTCATTATGAACAAAAGATGTTGACGGTGGATGCAATCTGAAAATTTTAATTCAAAACTTACCCCTTCGAGAAATCGTATTGCTTTTCCGTAGACAGTGGCAATGCATAGAGCAACGATGATGAAGGTCTTCATGTTTACTTGTAAGATTTTTTATTTCTTTTTTGAAAAAACACAATATTTGTTTAACTAAATATAGTTTTTATATTCTTTTCAACGTCTGAAATCATAACAAATATTGTTAAAGAAAAATTAAGATTACGAAACCAATCGTTCCTCTGTGGAAATTTAAAACTAAAACGACTGAATCATATTTCTTGCCCGTGGAACTCTCTTAAACAATGTCGCCACACTGTGAATAACCCAAACGCTGCAACTTTCTACCACCCTAAAAATCGTATGACCCGAGAAAAAATGATGAAATATCATATTTTTATTGCATGCGTGGGCGATCGTTGGCGATATCACGTCATATATATGTAAGAAAAAATAATCTTGATGTTCTTTCAAACTTATTTTTAAATTGGTAACTAGACTCTCAAATTATTATAAAAGTTTTTTGTTTTTCAAAGCATGTTAAAATTCGCCAAAGTATTATTTGCATTTTAAATCCCGTATTATCCGAAATTATGAAGCCAGCCGCCTAAACGTTGAAGTAACCTAATCTATACCTTGCGTTTAATATCCTTGCGGTGTGTCACTTTACAAAGCTGATAGATAACGGCATGACAAAAGTTATTTGATGAAATAAAATCTAAGCCCAGATATAGTTGGACTGACACACAAATCTGTGACGGATTTATTGAAAATTTAATTTTTGCTTCAGTGATATAGCTTATCTTATCACTATCTCCATCAATAAAACACTCTTTCACATCAGTTTTTGATTGTTTCTGTTGGCTTATTCTTCACTTAATTATTTCACGACATTTCTCCAATTTCAGCTGTTCGAATATTTCTAGAGCAAAATTACTTTAATCTTTATATATACAAGTAATAAACTTATCTTATATTCTCAAAGTTTCTTTCCATGTGACGAAAATCATGCGCGTCATCGTCTTAAGATCAATAACAAAAACAGGAAAAGAAGAAGAAAAGTGGTCATGGGATTTTTCATCCTGGAGGAGTAATTTTAGACCAGAATTCCACACGTTTTTGCTATATGAAGTCCAATAAATCCCACGGAAAAGATTTCAAATTCTATGTAATTAAACGCCCCGGGCTAGTCATGTGTTTATGACAGCATATCTCGCCTCCTCCGTTTTTGCGTGTAAAAGTTGAATCATTTACTCACAGGCACTTGAAATGGGTTTGACAATTAGCCATTATGATATAGACAACTTCGAATTTGAATCAGCAAATTTAATGTAACTGCAAGTTGAATATAATTTAAACAAAAAGATAAATGGAACAAGGTGCTGGGACTAAAATAGATTTCGTTACTGAACGTAAATAACAATTTACGTTCAATCTTCAGAAATTTCAAACATGCTAAATTTACTCGAACAAGCAAGTTAGTTTATAATTAATGGAACTCTGAAATAGAAACGCGTCATTTGTACAACGTAATTGATTACGTAATCGTTAAATTTATCTCAAAGGTACATCAGTTCGATATGGTTTCATTCGGGAAAAAAGTTGAAGAAAACTAACAACTTGATTCTTTATACCACTTCATCAAGCAAAAGCATATTAAGCATTACGTTATAAAGTATATATATCATTTCATTTCTCATCAATTATTTATTTCGAATGATTGTGATGAATACTTTTGTTTATTTTCCACACATTATTTTTTCTTAACACAAGAATTTTTTCTCACCTTGATATGCAGTGCCAAAAGTACTCTATAGATAGCAAAAGCATATTAAGCATTATGTTATGAAGTATATATATATTTTTTCATAAACTGAATACTTGAAATAATCGTGATGAATACGCATGTTTATTTTCTACACATCATTCTATTTTTCTTAACACGAGAATTCTTTGTCGCCTTGATATGCAGTGCCGAATGTAGACCATAAATGGTAGCTTGCTTCGAATTGTTAAATATTTCGTGTTGTTACATCTCTCGTAGAATAAGCACATAGACACTTTTGAATAACGCCATCAACTTGACGCCATGTAAGACCATGAACTAAAATTTAGTGAAACTACTGAAAAGTTAGTAGTTGTTGTTGTTCATGTAGCTTATTTAATTTACAACATAAATTATCTCAATTGAATATTGTTCATTTTTCATGAAAATAAAACGGTGGTAAAATGTAATAATTTTGGGGAATTTTCCGCTATTGCACCCATATCGTCAATTAGACCTTGCTAATTGTAGAAATTAGGAACTTGAAAAACATTCTATCATCCTGATTACATTTTATCTTTGCTTGATGAAATGCCAATTTTACACCGAGGACACGCTCCAAAGTACTAAATTAATTTAATTGGTTTCCGTTTGGAGCCTAAACGCCGCGGGATAAAAAATCACAGTTCAGTCATCATGACCAACATTCTTCGATGATGATTCTTATATATTCAAAGAATTGCCAACAGAAAAACAAAATTATCAAATGATAAAAGTTATTGTAATTCGTATACTTTATTGGACAAGAAATGGAAATATTGGTTGAGTTGTTGGATTGTTGTAATTTTTTCTTAATTGTCGCGAAAAATCACATTACTATATATGAGTAATCAACCAATCCAATCAATTTTAAATTTCCAATACTTAATTAAAGCTAGAAGACTATTACTTTCATTTTCAAATTTCTGTGAGTCATATAGATATACTTCATCCTGAATTCTGTCGTGTTTTATTTCAGGGGCACACCTTAGGGTGGCATTCGGTACAGTTTATTTTAAGATCTGGATGTAATTTGCTGATATTGTGACGGATATCATATTCGTTAATTGACTTCCGGTTCCATATATTGCTCTTGAGCACAGATTGGTATTACAATATACTATTTTTATAATCCACGAGCACACCTCAATACAGCTTTCATTACATTTCGTTCATATTTGGCAAGAGTTTGCGGATATTGCGGCGGTCATATTCGTATTTTGGTGTCTATATATTATTCTTAGTCATTAATTGGTGTTATACCGAATTCATCAACACATTTCGTCCTACTTAATGTAAAAGGTAAATATATAACAAAAACTTTCTTACATTTGGTAGTTTCCAAATTTTTTATTGTCTGTGATCTTTTGTGTGTGACTAACGTAATTTCGTTCTTATAAGACATATAAAAATGGAAATCCCGTGATTAGAAATATTACTTCCTAAATATTGTTGTCGCGTTTAATCATTGGTTTGAAGAAACTGGCCGACTGAATTGAAAATTAACTTGAGTATATTGTCATAGCAATGGCCTTCCTTTTGATATTCATAATACAAATTGAGTGCGAAAATGAAGCATGGCAAACTTAAAACCAAAAATGTTTCAGAGTATAAATCGGTGTTTTTAATTTTAAAATAAAATAACATGAGCTCAATTATTTAGAAACGAAGGTCAAAAGGCTACCACAATGCCCGTAAAATTGCAGCCAAATGTTAAAATAAGTAACAAATGTCATATGAAGATGTATAAGACGAAGATATATAAGCTGGCGTAGAATTAAACAAGATTTAAAAAATAAATACCCTCTAGCGACATCTTCCGTCCGTATTTACTCAAAATTTGATATAGATAGATGGCTATAGCAAAGCAACACGAATATTTTTATAACACAAACAATTGCGCCAACGAAGGCAATAGCTTCAATTTTGCAAAACGATTCAAAAAATTTTGTCTTACAGTGCCGAAAAAAATTGTCGGCCGCTTTTCTCTACTCTGAAATTTCCAGTGGTTAAAGATTGTAGTTGTCGCTCGAAAGGTATTACTTTATATAATATATTTCAAAAATTTCATGAGGGCTCTATAGGATTAGTTTTTCAATTTGAAGTTTTGTGTGATGACGTCATCTCTTGTTTCATAAAACGTTGCAACAGAGTTGCAGTAACAGTTATCGGATCATTTATGTTGGACTAGAAAAATTGAACTCATAGATAGCGTATTGGCGCAAGATGATCCGTATGGCTCATAGAGCCGTGTGCAGCTCTAGCGGTTGACATTTGTGTTGCAATACGATGTAATAAAAATAAAACAATGTACATAGTTTATTTCTCATTGCCTATGTTTCAGGTAATTCGGTCTTTTATGCTGTTCTTCGGAAGTGTATTGTCTTTCAGGTTTCAATAGGTAAATGACACGTAGTCAACACAAGACAAAACTTTTGATAAAGTTTTATTGTCTTTACTCTTCCATTTCATCTTTGTTCTTTTGTTATGTCATGGTATTTATAGATATATTCTTCAATGTTTTTTTCCAATCACCCTGTGTTATCCTTTGTTCATTTTCATTATATTTTATTTATGACAGAATGGTTTGCGTAGCAGAGGAAAGGGTGGGTGGGTTTATGGCGGTAGGAAGTAGAAGACTTGATTAAGCCCCAGGTTGAATTATTGCTAAGTAGTAAACTAATGATCCTATTTTAGTAGTGTTAGTGCAAGCAAGTTGGCCCGTGCGCCGTACTCACATTGCTAGACAATAGTATTTTTTTTAACTCTATCCTTTTTAATTGAAGAAAAGTGGTAGCATATTTTGAATCCAATTCCTAGTCGATTTACGCACCTGTTACCGGATTCGGCAAATGTTATAGCGTGTATCAAACACTCAATGCGCTGTCTTTGAATGTATGTATCATAATTTACACTTTTCTTTTGAGTAAAGAACTGAGATTGATGAGAAAAAACCTGTGAAAAATGTATATATATATTTCTTTACTCACCCGAGTCAGTATTTGCACTATAACTATTACGGTGAACCCAATAGTACTACCATATCGCTCAAATGGAATTGGGAATACTTACTCTGTCAAGATTTATAACATCAGAATAAAAAATATATATTTCAGTTTTTATCGAAAAATTTATTAACATAACAAAAAATGGCAAATACTATAAATGCAGCGGGAACTGTCGGATTTATTATTGCCCTCTGTGGTAGCGGAATTCTCGGAACAAGTATAGCAACAATGTATTGGCGAACTCCAGAATTTCTTACGGGACAGATACTAGCCACTGTCGTAGAAGTGAACTCTGGCTTATTTCAAACGTGTACTGTTCTTGGATGCACGGACATAAGTAAGTTTATATTCACGAGTACTTGGTTGACAACATGAGCGGAGCCTCACTATTGACGAAATTGAAATTGGCATTCATATATTTTCAGGTTGGAGTACAGATTCTGGTTTAACATTGCTTGTGACGAGGTCTATCCTGTTGATTGCATGCTTGCTGATTGCAATTGGATTGATTATCGGTATCGTAGCAATATGCGGGAAAACCGATATTACCTCTAAAGGAGCTTTGGACATTGTTTCAGGTAAGAGTAGCAATACCATTATTCAACTCCAAAATATATTCTCTCAAGCAAACATAATAGGAAACCCACAACACCAACCATCACACGAAACAGAGTTATAAAAATACTCACATTTCTGAACAAAAACACCGCCTGGGTATTTATTCTCTTCGAAACCTAAAGTCTATTCTCCAATTCTCCTTCAATAAAATTTGCGTTTGCTTCAATCTAACGATTTAATTTGTCGTAGAGTTCTAAGGGATTCAGTTTGTACGACAGTTATGTTAACGACAAATAGGTTATTTGTTCTGTCTTGTTGCCAGGTTTGTTTATTCTTGCTGCGTGTGGGGCATACACCGGATTGACGATTGGGTTTGATGAATACCTTCTCGGAGACGTAGGATTCAACGATTTCGGCTGGAGTTTTTATTTATGTTGGGCAGCATCTGCAGTTTTCATTATTGCCGGGGCCTTTGAAGTGAACGGGAAGCAAAAAGCAACTGGACAAAGACAGGTACAAATAGTATTTAAAAACTGCACACCACTTGGTTGAACAATAATAAACATTTTGACATTTTAATCTTACGTTCTTTTATATATATTCTTATTTCATTCAGTAAACAAAAGTTTTGTCAATTGAGTCTATCTCATCCTGAAAATATAAAGCGCCCATATTATAACCATAAATTTTATCAGTGTCTCATTCTATTATTTCAATATTACGTATTTGACTTTACAGTATTTAAAGCAACTGTAATATGATTTATTGCATCACAACCAGAAAATCCGCTGGAGATTGCAAATTATCATACACGTTGTTGTTCCCGAATTTGGATTTTCGTATTTCTAAGTTTGACGAGCGCACATTACAAAAATTGAATTCGTAACCTAAGTGTATTGTTTATAATTTGCTTCTGATAAATTTGTCAATAAAATAATATATGAGCGAAGAAGAAAAACTCCCGACGAACCTCAATGAAATATTTTGCTAATAATGTCTAACATTTCACGTAATTTTTTATTTTAGATTCATCCAGCAGCGGACATGCAACAACAAATGATATGGGCAACGAATATGCAGCACCGTAACGGTACAGTTGTTCAACAAGTTCCCAGGCACCAAGTAGTCCAACTTCAATAACAGTTGACGACCGCATACATGTCTTGAAAGATTCATTTCATTGTGAAGTGATATTTCAATAAGCCAATACTATTTAACACCATAGTTACAAACAATTAGCCTGAGTTTTTTTCTGTGTAGATATCGATATTTCAGATGAAAGTTTGATGATCGATACTTTCATTTTCATAAAATGGTAATAACGGTGTCAACTAACGGTCTAAAGGCGGTATATTTATCTGATGACGTTTAACTACTCAAGATGATGCCGAGCTCTCCACAACAATATATCTAATCAAAGGTAAATGTGAACTGCAAGGTATTAATTCTTTTTAAAACAGTTGTGTAAATTGCTTATTGGACACAAAATGGACCTAAGGATCGCTTTGTTATTATGTTGTTAGAATTCTTTTGCTTTGGAATTTACAGCGGTGAAAGATTGTATTTTCTGCTAGAAGGCTATAACTTTAATTTTTTCAAAAATTTCTGTGGGCTCTCTGGGTTCGTTTTGAATGTACGATGGCGTCATAAAAATTCAAAATTGTGCACTTTGTGGCGTTAATTTAAAGATCTGATATAATTTAAATTGCTATGATTATTTTATTATGTTTGTTTATACAGTTCTTATGAAGTTTCTCCGCGTTTTTTCAAACGTTCATTTAAACTTACGGAATATGTTTTTTGTATTTCACTAATATCCTATATTAGTTTGAGTTGAATATTTTTCTTTTATTTTTTTTACTTCACTTTATTATATTATTTGTTAATAAAGGAAAATTGTACATATCAATACTACGTATTGGGAGTGTTTTTGCAGATAGCTCCAAAATGCCCTCTCGCCGCACCTATATGTATTGCGTTTGTTATAAAACAACATGTCGGAGCTAGTCAACATAGAATGAGTCTACGTTATGAATGTGGCTGTGGAACATGTTTTTTACGATATTCTCACTTGGTTGATACTTAAATGTGACTCAATAAACGAGTGATTAAAATCTGACGTGAATAGAAGTGAAAACAATATCATTTTCAAATGATAGAAAATATTCGTGAATGCGTTTGAAAAGAATTAGGGGTGAGTGTGTATGATAGTAACTCTTCTTTAAGCACTTACTTTTTAAAACTCGGTTTCTTTGTTATTATTGAACATCCTAGGTTTTTTTCTCGCTGCAGGGGTCATATCGAACATTCAATTCATTTTCTATTTTATTGTTTCAGTCTGAAGCCTTTATTTCGATATGTACATATGTAGCACGTATAGCCAATACAACATGAAATTCGACTCCAACACTTTTGTTGTACCTCAATCGTACTATTTGTTATATCACGTTGGGATTATCAAGCAAGTAAAACTGTAAAGAAGTTGTCAACTCATTCTCGCATTATATACTGATACAGTTCATAGGCACGGCTCCATATAACCTACTCAAAAAATATTTGCAATTACAATCGGATTGCACCAATATTCAAAAGACTGACTTATACTAGGATGTCATGTCGAATTACCGTAGCCTATTGTAAGGAACATTCTTGAACTACTTTGAAATCATTGTCCAGTTTCGTTGAAGTAATTATATGGTTCCATTACATTTGAACCCACGTACATTTGAACCCATGGCAATTGCACCTGCATACTATTGCACCTATGGGAATTTTTTTGTTGTACGGATAGTTGAACCCATACTAACCCTAACCCATGGGTTTCAGCACCCGCATATTGATTGAACCCGCGGATATAGACATGGGTTCAAATGTACGGTCACCTAATTATATATATCCATCGCCTTTCGCACCACAACACGGAATTTAAAATCTGGTAGCGTCATAAGTTACATTTTGGTTGAAGAAGTGGTCCTGAAGCGTTATTATTATTAAAGTTCCGACGAGAATCCGACTTCCGGCGAATCCGACGAAAGTGTTGACGAGAATCTATCATCTGCGTTATCAATTACTGTTTTCGAGATATATTTGTCTAAGATCATGATATTCAACGGTAAATTTTGGCCATGTCTGTTAATCCAGTATTAGTTTGTATTAGTATCAATTTTAATGTAGAACGTGCAAGATTATTTGTGCTTTCTGTGAGACTACTATTGGTCAACTACTTATCCGTCTTCGATGCTTTTGCGACGTTGAATCCGTATGCATATTGTACAAGGGTGCTGTGGCAAGAGTGAAGATGACTGTTCATAGTGATTCAAGAGTCTTGCTGCACAGTAACACGATAGCGTATTGCGTTAGTGTGCAACAGGAATCTTGAATCAATTTGAATAATGACTCGTAGCACTAAATAATATAAACTCAAATGTGTCTGAAATCTGGTTATAAAGTAAATAAATTTCAGTTCGAATAGGAATTAATTGATAGCAATGTACTTTATAGGTTTTAAATACTTTGGTTAGATTTAGAATCCGAATATCATGGCCAGTACAATAAATCCTGCAGGTATTTTCGGAATCCTATTTTCGATTTTGGCTACTGGAATGTTGGCACCAGGTATGGCAGCTGTTTATTGGAAATCCCCAGTATTTTCCCCTATCGTTCATTAAAACTGACCACACTATAGTGAATGCAGGATTGTTTCAAACTTGCACGAATGCACGAATGTTGGTAAGTATCGTTACTTATTTCAGCTTTTTTCCCAGTTACGTCTCTTTGATCGCCAAATCATTATTGAGATATTCTGTTACCTAATATCGTACCATTTCAATATGTGTTTACTGTTGTGGTTCTTCGGGGAATTGTAATTAGATCTCACACTAACCATCCCATATACTGACGAAATGGCACTGCTGGAATATATGGGCACTAAGTGGGCCGGAACGAAATAGTATGAAATCTCTTACAGTACTGGTGCCCACCCGATCACCCAGATTTGATCAAGGAACCACGGCACGCAATTATAATTTTAATTACTTCATTAAACAAAATTTCGAAATGGAAATAGAATCTATTTTTAAAATAAATAAAGTAATAGCTTTCTAGCGACAAAAACAAACTTTAACAACTGGTAATTTCGAAGCAATTGATCAAGTAGTTGAAGAGAAGCGTAAAAGAAAAAAAGAGAATTTTTTTCCACCAGCAATAACAACAAGAATTCTAACAAAAAAAAACAATAATAACAGCATAATAAGAAAACGATTTGTATGTCTACCTCGTGTTCAAAAATAATATCCGTATTTTATTAATTAGTGTTTATTATTGTCTCGTTAAATAAGATACTTATATACATATATACAGGATATACATACATCAGGCACTGTCTTCCTTATTGCTGAATCTTTCGAAGTATGCGAGGAACGTGAAGCTTCTCAACAAAGACAGGTGGGAAAGAGTTAAACATCGAATGTTCGAATACGTTACTATTTTCGTTCGTGTGAATCCGAGGAAAGCTTACACGAATTTATGACCAATACTCCTAAAAGTCTGAACTAGCGCAATATACACGAGGATCTCACATAGAATATGGGACCCACAAACATTTACACACTCAACACTATTTGTATGATCTCTCTAAATATATGTTTTTGCGACCATTTTTCCGTTATCCACGACCCGTCGTATCATTCAGACCTATACGCTATACACGAAAATGAGCGGAGGAGAGACTGATTTTGAATATCATCAACTTCAAACTATTTAAGGACACTAATATCGAGTACGAAAAACAAACGAAACAAAAAAAATGGCTTGTCTATAATTTGCATGATGTCTTTTAGTATTCAGCTTCTAATCTTTTAACAATTCTGACATGACATCACGATTTCGAGATGTTTTACTCCATTTTCATTTCTTTCAAGTTTATCGTGTCGTGTCTAGATGCAGAAGTTATTAGTTTTGATTTGAAGTTCATTTTCTATACGACATCACAACATCCAACAGTCTCATTAATAAGCACGCAATATCTAAAGACCTCAGAGGATCGTTTCAAGTCGACAATTATGAGGAATTAAAACCGATATTATAATTTACGGGGCATATACCTCGTAGAGTGGGCCTTTTTTTCATTATTGCGCAATGCAAAAGTTTGTGTTAAAATAAATAGACTAACAGCACAAATATCAACGATCACGGCCAAACGATCCAACTTTCATTGGCGCCTTAGGATCTAGGATGAAGTATGTTCAGCTAGTTTTTTTATTTACTCGTTCTAGTTTGTCTTGATGATTGGGATTATAATATTTGAGCCTTGCTTATTTCTAAGATTAACTAATGCTGCCAATATTTGAAGCTTTGAATTAGACAAGCATTTAAAAGGGAAGGAGTTCTGTCAATATGAATGATGACAGATTAATTTTTTTTTATTGAGCTGTCGACATAGTATGTAACGTGACTCTAAACGCGTTGTTTGGGTATTTTTCTGTCGGACATCCTTCCTTTTCTTCATCTTGTGCTCATCAAACTTGGTGCACAGATAAAACAAACACGCTAGATTCCTTCCAACCATAGGTCATGTTTAATAGTTTTAGGGATACCAGATTTTTCGTCAATAGAACAATTAGAAAGATGTAATCTAATATTACCGTATTAAATAAGTCATGCTTGGAAGATATAGTTGTACAATTGGGTTAAGTCACACCTGGCACCAAACATCATATATCTGCTACAAAGTAGTAGTAAGTATGTTCAATCAAGAATTTTTGCTTAATATTTAAAAATATCAAAATACAAAAGATGTGATCGATTTGGAAAATCAGCAAATGTCTGATTGAGGTAAAAAGGTTAGATACCTGCAATTGAGAAGTAAAGAATGATTGCTTCAACAATAACAAAAGTGGTTTAAGAAGTGGAAGCCTTTCTACATAGCTGATTAGGCTCTCAAATTTCGTTTTGTGTGGAAAACGTTTGTTTATTGTTTCTCTGAGGCATACCTGGAATCAATCACAAACAAAAGACGATTTCAGCAAATTAGTTGTAGCATTTTGTGCCTTGAGAATGTTGCCTATTTCGATTTTGAATGTCGAAAGATATCGTTTTGATAGTATGATGGTTTAAATGTTATGCACATCTGCAAATATTTATGATTTTGGAAACATTACTGTGCATTTTCCACATCTTTCAGTCAACTGTTCATTACCTTTTATTTTAGAAAAAGTAAAATTTCAGTATCAAAGTTCATTAGGCAAAACCAAATATGGCAAATAAGGTAAACTATGCTGGGATAGCGGGATTCGTCGTTGCTTTTTGTGGAACTGTTTTGTTGGCGTTGAGCATGTCAACGATTTATTGGAGATCTCCGAAGTTTGAATCGGACCGGATATCTGATGAAACAGAAGTAAATACCGGACTATTCGTCACCTGTACTGTCGAGTCATGCACTAATATCGGTAAGTTCTGGCACAATATCTTCTTCCTTTCCCTTCATTGTATACTTATTGATTATAGAAATACTGTATATAAAAGAACTCCGAGAAACTTAAAAATACGACTCCGGCTGCAAGGAGAACATACTGAACTCCGACTCTCGTCAATACAGCCACGAGTACAATTTTTTTACTTTGTTAGGTCTGAAAAAACTTGTTGAGTTGCAGTGAAACTCTAGCTCAGTGTCAGTGTTGATGCTGAGTACGTTTGAGTTTTTTCGTACTTGGCGGAATTCGTATTGATTGGGTTTGCAGTTTTGAATGATGGTGATTCTCATACACAATTATGGGGAAGTGAATTAAAATTACTTATTCAAATTTGTGAATGAATACTCGTTAAGGGTTTTGTACACAGAAATGAAACGTGCTTATCACTTTTTAGGATGGTTAACAAATGCAGGAGCAACTTTAACAACCACACGTGTTCTTCTTTTGGTTGCATGCGTTCTTATCATCATCAGTCTCATCATTGGTGTAATAGCTTTGTGTGGACACGCTGACATAGTAACAAAGGGCGCAATGGACATTGTTATTGGTTTGTTAACTCCGAATTCATAATAAAAAAAATTGGGTTATTTGGTTATGTGGGTTTAACTAATACCCCTTGTCAAGTCTCCCATTCTTTTATCAGTTGCTAAGCATTACTCATAGACTGAAGGTTGTCGATCAGTATAACGTTCTCAGTGAACTAATCTAGAGTTACAACTAAATTCCAACTGATAACATACACTTTCTCTGCTAGTTAGTGCTAAGAATAACTTGTTTGATTGTGACTACTCTCCCAGTAACTACATTTATATATTCTGTTTTTTCTTGCATGCTATACGATTTTTATTTCTTCGAAAATGTGTTCATATAGACAGCATAGATCAGCATGGATTTCCTCTGATACGTTTGTTTTTAGGAATCATCATCCTTTCTGCCTGTAGTGCATACACTGGACTGACGATTACACTTGATAGATATCAGGATGGAAAACCATCAGCTCGTGACTTTAACTGGGGGTTCTATCTATGCTGGATATCTTGCGCCGTTTTCATCATAGCCGGTGTTTTCGAAGTGAAAGGAGAACAAGAGATTGGAAAGAAGTCTAAGGTGAATCAAAGGAAAAACAATTAAATGATGAGGGATTGTGAGGATGTAAAGATTGAGGCATTAAGGATATTTGAATTTTTGACAAAAGGTTTCGTGTATATTATATTAAAAGCCAAAGTTGTTAAATCGGACAATTTAAAACGTACTTGATTTATTTTCCATACGCGATTCTATATTCATCGGATTGAATTTCACAGAGAATAAAAATTGAAGTAAACAAATATCTAATACTAGATACAATACAAGTAACCATGATTCGATAAACAACAACCTTGAGCCTTTATATTTGTTGGCGTCTGATATATATATATTTAGATGTATTTATCAACATCGAAAAATTCAAGCCTGCAAATTTTATGTATATATATATATATATATATTAAAAAGATATATAAATGGCAGGAGTTAATGTTATAAAAGTTAGAAAATTGACATTTTGACAGATTCATCCGGCATCGATACAGCAACAATTGAAGTGGACAAGGACAAACCAGCCTTCAAATATTTCAGGCAGCAGTGCATCAGTAGAGCAAACTAGATCAATCCAGGATGACCAAAAAATATCAGCAGCTTAACAAATATATATTTTTTTTAATTACCATTTGCTAATTTCTGTTTTGAAGAACACATGGCCGTGACCTCCCGCTCTCTCCTCTCGTCTGTGAGCCCGGAGAAGTTTTTGATTAAATATGCTATGTAGATAAATATATAAATAATGAGGAGAAATAATAATGTACGTCGGAAAAGAATGAAATTTGATTTCTGAAGTTCTTGCTTTGGAATATGACGATTGATATTGTTTGAGGTGGCATGGTACATATTTATGATTCTTTTGAAACAGCGAGTAAATTTTCATTTTCTTTTGTAGCTTCATTTTGTACATGAATCTTGTTGTAAATTCTTATCGTCCTTTTTTGTAATATAAAAGCCGTTACGTTATGTGCTCCTGATTTTTCTATTTACACTCACTTTTGCTTAGCATTGTTTTTTTTTACATGAAGATTCGAAACATCGGGGGGAATAAATATAGCATCGTTTATACTCTACTAAATATGCCTATTGTGAATGACATTTTATTCAACTTATGTTGTCGTGGTTGAGAGCTATTTTAGTCTAATAAATTGAGATTTTACTTTGAAATTACTACGATTGCTTTAATTCGTGGAGGACTCGAGTCTGCACTACATGTCCTGGGCTTAAATTGTTTTAAAAATTGCCATCTATTATTATGTTATCTTTTCCTGAGTAAGATTTAATATGATGAATCAATTGTGACAGCAATATAATATTAACAAGAGAGCTTTACGCGTTAGGACCTGTTACGATGATTCATTCTTCATGCATCAGTTTAAATGCGAATTAAACTACCAACGGATCCGAGTCACTTCTATATTACCAGATCAGGTAACGCAGTCTACAGGAGGATTTTGATCATACTCATATGCTATTTTTTGAACATCGAGAAGTTACCATGTAACTGTCTTTAACTACAGCATGGGTGATAAATATATATATTGCTTCGGCAAATTTTCTCCGGCATTCATATTTATTTATAAACAAGGTGAAACTTATGTATATTTTGGTATTTATATCCAGAAAGTCGATTGAAATTTGCTGATACTGCAAAATGTGCGCGCGACAGTCGATCTTTTTGTATAGTCAGCAATTTTATAATATTGTTTTATTTAGAAGCATTGAATCATCATCACTTCTTCGTTACAAGGTAGGATGTGTTTCTGAAATTCTTATGTTCATTATCTTACTCATATCTAGAAAATCCATAAAAACTTTCACAGCTGAAATTTGTCAACACTGCAAAATGTACGCACGACAGTCGATCTCCTTGTTATCAATATTCTAATCTTGTTTCACCTAGAAGCATTTAAATAGAGCTAACCTTTGTGTGTCAACTTCACTTGATCTAAATAACGTTCAGGTGCAGTACATTTCCTTCTCCTCTTCATGTGTGTTCTCTCCTCTTCAATGTACAATAACCCATCGTTTATTTTGGTAGTTTTTTGGAATATGAATGGCATTTATTTCTATATATGTTTTTAACAATATCTTATAGGTACCAATACCATAAAATCTTTTTAATACAATATACAACTTTGAAATTAATGGTCAAAAGAGTAAAAAAAAATCATAATAAATTTATTGATTGTGACATTTTTTATTGCTGCAGTCGCTACATTTGCAATTAACGCTGCTCCTTCAGCAGGTAATTACATATTTTTTTTTGTTTTTTGTGTTTTGTTTATAAAGTTTTGAAAAATGTTTAGAGTTTCAATAGAACACCGTTTATAAGCGTGAACATGCATTTTTAGTTTTTAGAACAAATTTTAGTTTTGTAATTAGTCTTTCACAATTAAATGTCATTTTCATAATTTTACATTTTAGTGAAAAATTCCGAAAAAGGCGCGGCAGCAGAAGAAGCAGCGTGAGTCATACTTTACATGTATTATTATATAATGTCACAATGTGGAACAAAATGTCACTTTTTTGCCAAAGTGTTTTTATTTGGCATGGCCCATGATGCAAGGCCGAATTGTTCCATTTTAGTTTAAACCATCAATTCGTGTTCAGAAACCTATTTTATTTCAAATTTTAATCGAATTTGTCAAGTGGTTGCAGGGTTTGTTACTTTCACAAAGACATATACATATTTATTTTTCTTTACAATAATGTATTTTCAATAATATAGTGGTAGTAGAATTTTTTGCTAGCATAAATGAGCAAATTGCAAGCGACTTTTATCGCAAGGGGATTGATTAATAGCATGAACAATAAAAGTGCTCGAGTTGAGCCGTGGAACTAAGAACAAGAGTATAAAGATCGATGTTGATTTCGCATTCAGAGCAAATTATTTCACTGCCGGTACCCAGGGGCGGATTATGCCCCTTTGGTGCTCTAAGCACTGAAGACTTTGGTTCCCCCCTATATGTAATTTAATTATAAAAAACAATAAACCACATAAGTGTATTATCCATTAAAAATAATCACAACCAACAGTAAATAAAATAAATTTTATGAACATTTTTAGATTTTTTAACTGTTATATAGAGCCGATATATATATCGGCCGTTTACTGCCGATATGATATATCGGCAAACACACAACATCCGGCCGATATAACGTTTGAGCTCTAATCCTGGAGGAGTGTGACAATAAAGATTCATGCTTCCAGTCTCAACGTGAATCAAAATACCAAAGGATACAAGTCACAACTGTTGTTTGCAATTTTACCGGTACCTAGTGGTCTACCTCAGGGTGGTTCAAGGTTGCTAGGTTGAAGGACCGCAAAAACTTGTGAGAAGGTCTCGCGGGCCGCAAGTCGAAGAAAACCCAAACGTGATCGAAATATCACGAGTCTACTTATTTTCAATTTAATAAATAACGAGAGTTTACCGTTCTAATCCATTCTTCTAGACCATTCTTATGTTGCATGGGTGGCGTTTCTTTAAAGAAGATAATAAAGCCTTCAGTTATTTAAAAATTAATTCCCTAAAATTAACGCTGTATTTTCTGCATCTCGTGTTTGATGTCGCTTCAAATTATATTCCTTCGTGACAGATATTACTTGAAATCAAACCAGAGATTGTGTGGTGGGCAAAGAAATACGTTTCCGCCGTGTTTTCCATATGTCACTTTTCTCGTGGCAATCATTTTATTACGAATTGTCATATTTGAGTAATTTAAAAACTTGCAGCGTGATCAAGCTTAGTGCCATCGTCAAATAACCACCAAGTCCGTCTAAGTTGGTATTTCGGGACCTTGCTGAAAAAAAAACTGGATTGCGCTGCGTTAAGTCGGCTCTGCGTTTCGTCACTACTGTCACATGGCCCACGCTTGAAAACAGAGAAGTGTTTTTACAAAAATAGAGGCACAAAGCGTTAGAAAAAGGGGTTTGAATCTCGGGATTCCGACCCCAGTTGGAATACCTGAAAAAAAACGCAAAAACGCTCTGCTATTAGATATATAATATACGCTAAAATTGTTCTGTGGGCCGCACGGAATGTATCAGCATGACAGGGTTTGGACCACCCTGGTCCTCCTTATCAAAATACCTTATCAAAAACTCTCCACTTCGCTGACCACTAGATCGTCAAAATGCGATCGTGCAACCGCCACATAGTGCAAAAAGTTCATTGGTCCAATTGTTGAAGAGAAAAGAAAATGCAACAACAATGAGAATAGTAGAAAAAAAACAACAACGACAATTTTACAAAACGATTCATAGGCCCATTTCGAGAATAAATAAGTTTCAGTGTTTATTTTCGATAAAGAAGGATAATATGATACTTGAAGACAAAAAATTAGCGAACATTTTGAAGTTTGAGTCGTATGGTGAACTATTAAATTCTGCTATAAAAATTTCTGTGGTGCCCCGAAACACGTGCTTATATTGTTCAATGGTTAATCCAGATCTGCCAGTACTTCAAAACATTTGAAAACTCAGATATATCGTCCATTTCACCTGGTGCTAAAACGATAGTAGTTCATTCCGAAATGAATATGGTCAGTACAAGTTTAGCACAATAATTCAGTCCATATTCAACCGGTCATTTCCTGAACCCTAAAAAGGTATACATATCTGAATATTAATAATATCGCTAACTCGTTTCAGCAAGTTTATTATTATTGGACACAAAATGGACATATGGATCGTTATTGTGTTCAAAGATTGTGTTTCCTGCTAGACCGCTATTACATTTATTCATTTCAAAACTTTCTGTGGGCTCTATGAACTTTTTAAGCCTCGAAATAGTTGTGATGCATTCTAGAAAATTAATAAAAAATATTTGTATCGATTTCTTCGACCTCCTTCGGGCTACTTTTTTGCTATTGCAAAAGCCTGAAGTTTTTTATGGTACCGGTATTGTAAAAGCTAAGTTAGACTACTGCTTTGCGTTGGTCTTTGTGCCCATATATAGCAAAGTAGTAGCAAAGTGGTAATTGCAGAATGAAATTACCATGTGCTTAGTTTCTGTACCGTGTGGAGGCCTCGGGTCTGCAGTACACATACTAGACTGAGATTCTAGGAACTACTTCAAAAATTTCCGTTTATTATCACGTTATGTGTTTCCTGAGTATGATTTGTTGTGACAGCTGTGAAAATGAAAAGCACGAGTCTCGATCAACCCCTATTAAAAGAAGCAACATTTAGGGTCCTGGTGTTATTTGCGTTTTTGTTTCAGTTATTTACATTCCAGTAATACAGGGTTATTTAACAAGAGCTTTTGGAAGATGTACATGTGCTCGAGTATTTGCAGAATAAATTAGATTATGTTACGAAAGTATACACAGCAATTCAATGAGTATTGACTAATTGTTACTTAATTAATTGTATTACTCAAGTAATACAAAGATAAAAACATATATGAAGTTGTTTCGAGGGCATTACTCCTATGAGACGCGATATCACATATGATATTCTGCTTTAAAAAATATATTATTTTAATGAAACAGTTTTTCCGATGTTGCTTGACTGATTACTTCCCTATATGGACATGGAAAGGCTGATTAACTATGGCATCGTTTATATTTTCCTAAATGAGCATATTATTTGTGACGTTTATTCAACTTGTTATGCCATTTTGTTGTTACGATTGAAGGCTGTTGTACAGTCACTCCTCAATTTTCGAAACATACGAGCATGATGAAAAATCTACATCGATGACGCAATCAAGAGTTTCGAACAAATTTCTGAGTATGTTGGGCCAAGTTTGTACTGATATATTTATACATAGCCTTTGGCAATTTTCTTGTGAATCACTATTTCTCTTTACTATAGCTAGACTGAGTCACAGAATTCAATATTTTTATTTTTTTTCGTAATCCAAACTGCTTCATCATATGAACTTGGGTCGATGCCATGAAACTTAAACATGAATCTTCACAAGTGACGTTTGTCTATGCTGTATAAAATCTACGTACGGCCGTAGAACCCCTTGCCATTGGCAATTTCCCTACCCTGTTTCGTTCAGAAGCATTTAAATAGAGCTAAAATTTGTTCGTTAACTACACTTGAACAAAGCAGTTGAAATAAATGATTCAGATGCAGCATAGATTTTCCGTCTAATTGCTCTGTGAAACACTTTGGGAGCTCACCAAGTAATTTAGGCAGTTTGCTACATTTGCTGGCGGAAGTTATATGCATTCCATAGTGTTTTTATGAGCTCTATTCAATTTTCCAGTTTTAAAACAAGAATTTTTTTTTTTGCAGAAAAAATAACAATACAATATATCTAACGGGGAGACGAGTAAAAATAACAATGAATTTCTTGATTGTGAAATTTGCTATTGCTGCAGTTGTTACATGTGCAGTCTACGCTGCTTCCATTCCACTCCAGGTGATTTATTATTTTCATTTGATGTGCTTTGTTGATAAGGTTTATATGATGTTCACGGCGATAGTTATGAAACGTCCAGACACTGACAAAAACTTTATTTTTGTTAGCAGTTTATGGAATTGTGGTATCATGATTAATGTGTAATTTTTATATCTTTCATAATTTAGAAAGACATACGAATAGAACTGATGGCCGGCGAGGGTATTGTAGTAACAGAACCAGAACAAAAAAATAAAACTGCGTAAGTCTTTACGTTACATGTATTTATTTGTGTAATAAATCCTGGCAAAAGTGGTTGGTAGAACTTCATTGACATAGTGTTTTCATGTAGCATTGCTTTGAAGCAAAGCATAATTGTCTCAAATTAGGTTTCAGACCATTTTCCCAAATATTTTGGAGAGAAAACAATTCCTTTTGATGTCAATCAAAGTTAAGTAGCAATTCTTAAGTTGACTAAAGCCGCAAAGAAACCTATATACCTAGTCTCAAAGGTTCTTCAATTTATTCATGGTTACGATGTGTTAATAAATAATAAGCAATATGTTGAAACCATGTAAATGTTTGGAGTTTTCCTGATGAAATTGATGCATAAACTAAAGAAATTGTATTGTATGTATTTATTTCCTAATTTGATTTTAGGAATATTCCCGACGATATTATTGCATCACTTCAACAAGGCACATACGATATTGAAACATTGCTTTCTAATACGGATATCGACAAACTTTCAACAGCGGAAATCCTTCAGCTTCAATATTTGCTTCAAAAGTGGTCAACGAATATGGGCTTGGTCTCTTCTGCTACGAAAAATATAGCAGAAAGTATCGCAGAACTCCTAAAAAATATATGATTGTCGAATTGTAATGGAGATCTGAATATGAGAATCGGATTGATAAAATCTCTGTTCTTAACTTGTACTTGGTTATGATAGTTATTCAATACACATATATAAAATCAATAATTATTTTGAAATACAATCAGAACACATTTAACTTGCTTGTAAACATATTGTGGATATTATGCTTATTTGGGGACATCGTTTACCAATGCTTACCACATTAGTTAGAAAGTATTATATTTAACCATGTATATCTTTAATTTATCGCCTACTCAGCGACCCTCTCTTATTTATGTTTATTTATCTTTTTTAGGGCTCAATGATATAATAAATAACCTACCCAAGTTCCTATTTATATAGGTTGTTTGAGTTGGGTATTGTGGGTTGTATATTAATTTTTTGTGTTCGTTTTCGAAAAATACAATTCTATATGCATGTTATGTTGTTCATAAAATTATATATTGGAAATAGAAGTATTAAAATTTCATTCAGTTACTTGTAGTCATATTACGTTAACCAGTTGTTTTATTCATTATATAAGGGTGAGAAATCGGACAGAGTAAAAGAATGAGTAATCGTGCCTGGTAATGAAGATACATGATGTACCATCCTAGTACATAGACTAATACTCGTACAACAAAATAGCTTTTATTATTGGAATTGCTAAAGCTCGTTCATAACCCCCAATAATAGCAATGTAAAGAGGTTGGCATGTTTTTCGTCAAAATTTCAATGGAACTGTGTTAACATTGAGTTCTCCACAATTAATTAACTAGGATGTTCTTGTATGTCGTCACGCTAATAACCGAATTGCGTAAGTCATTTTTAGCAGTTTTGAGAAAAACGTAAAAAACTTCCTAATGATATTGTTATGCCATTGAGAGTCAATAATATGCCATGGTTCAATTTTTTGATCGTAGCCGGATTTAAGTTAATTTGTATGACGCAGTTAAGTGACGTCATAATGGCGCACTGTGACTTACGCAGAAATGTGTCTATGACTTGGGGACATACGCAATTTTGCAACTATACTATATGCACCAGTCCTGAAAACTATACATTCCAAAAACGAATGTAATTCTTAGTATCTACAATGTCTAATCCCCAAAATAGCTAATCAGTTTCAAATACATTATTTTTTGTGTTTAAAAATATATATTTCATCAATATAACACGTTCTGCACACCCACCGAAATAAGACTAAGATTAAATATAAAGAATAAAACAGCAATGCACCCAATATAAAAGCCAACCAAGGTGAATTGAACTCGGACAGTGAATATTACAAGTGCACGTCTTCCTATACTGTAGTATAAATTCAAATTAATACGCGCTAAGCTAGAATCTGAGATGCAAAAACTCGAAAATCCTTAGCCGATGTTATTTTGCCTTTGTGACGTCTCAATAGTCCTGCGGTACCAATGATAATTCATTATGACGAAACAATTGCACAAATGTGCATGTCATACTAAATCTCCATTTTTATGGGTTTCGGAATTCTTAAAATAAAATCTGAGTTAACAGACAGGTGCGCAGCATTACATAAATACCTATTTTATAAAAAACTCAAAATCGCCAAAAATGACTTACGCAATTCGGTTATTAGCGTGACGATGTGTTATTGCTATCAGTACCCCAATCAACAAGCTAACGACTTAGTTTTCAATTTACATTAAATTTTGTATGACCTAAATATGAGTGAGTATTTGTGACTGAGCTATACATTCTATCAAAATTATAAAACTTTTTTCACGGATAACCAATTTTTGTTCAAATTTCAAAAAAAGTAATAAACAAACTACGAAGAGGTTTGCTTGTGTGTTATCGTGATGTTAAAGTGATCGTATTTCGCAATGCGACCACGGTATATGGTTTTTAAGGTTTCTACTGTTATAGATAACAAGTAATAATAATGTTAAGTGTATGTGAAAGACATTATGAACAAACCAAAGAATATTACCCATCTAATATATTCTTTAAAAATAGTTTCTGAACACTCTGGCACCTCTACAACAACCCACCACATCGCATGATTTTGCGGAAATGATGTCTAACATGGTTTTGCCAGATTTTTCAAGATCCTATCAACCTTCAACGATAACTGCATAAATAAGCAAAATTTAACAAAACTAGAAAGTGCATTTCAACTTTGGTTAACATAACACGGAAACATAAAAATCTAAATTTTGAGATTTGGTTGAGATTATTTAATCATTGGATGTGTGATTTGTTTCCACTCGTAGATTTTCTCAACTATTAAATACGCATATATGGGGCCAATAACAAAAATTAACGCTTATATATTCTGTTTTATAATTGGTTATCCCAGTGGTTTTCAACCTTTTTTGGTGCTGGTGCGGAACCTCAATCAAACATTCAATGAGGCTTGAGGAAGTCTTGCGCAATAGTTCAATTGTTTTTTTTATTGTCTGAAATGTATAATCTATAAATGAGACAAATCTAGTACTGGAAAACGAAATAGTTTTTGGTGTGGTAAGTTCAATAATGCACCTAGTAATATTAACTCTCGAATTTGAATGGAAAAATGCGGACTTCCTGGACTTTACTGGCGGAACCCTAGGGTGCAGCGGTTGCAAAACACTGGTCCAGCCTATCCTATGTCTACTACTTCTACATTTAACACTATTGATTATCCTGCGCAGGTTAATATAAAAAAAAAATCTTAACTTAAAAGAAAAATTCTAGTTTGGGACTTTTGCACCCGCCTCGCATGCCTAGGTAGCTTAAGCTTGCGTTGAATCAATATATATACATATGTTATCTATATTATTCATATATCATATCACATATTTTATCATATATATTACCATATATTATCTATATATATATATATATATATATATATATAGATACTCACATGCTAATTCTATATTATACAATTGTCGTTTTATTCGAATTTTTGTTCATTTTTAAACATTCAATTCTAATATATTCATCAAAATATGAATCAATGTTGCCGTAAACATTCAAACTCTATGTAAAATATTACCACATTCGCCCTGAAGCATGCATTGTTCATCATGCATTGTGGTATATATATATATATATATATTCATTTCATATAATACTGATTTATATCTTGATGCGGGTGTTAAATGTTATGTCAAAAATGTTGTGAAGTATGAGTTCGTGCTAAAGTATTTTGTCGACTCAAAAATGTTTATTGTTTTATGATTCGATTTGGGTGAACATTGTCTTCGGGGTATTTGAGATGCAAGTGTTTTCGCAGCTTAGTGGGACTGTAATAATATAATACAGCATTGCCTAATATAAATGCATATTTATGAATTTATATAAAATCTTTCAAATTTGTCCTCAATTCGTTTTATTCGAATTTTTGTTTATTTTTAAACATTCAATTCTAATATATTCATCGAAATATGAATCAATGTTGCCGGAAACATTCAAACTCATTGTTAAATATTACCACATTTGCCCTGAAGCATGCATTGTTCATCATGCATTGTGGTATATATATATATATATATATTCATTTCATATAATACTGATTTATATCTTGATGCGGGTGTTAAATGTTGTGTCAAAAATGTTGTGAAGTATGAGTTCGTGCTAAAGTATTTTGTCGACTCAAAAATGTTTATTGTTTTATGATTCGATTCGGGTGAACATTGTCTTCCGGGTATTTGAGATGCAAGTGTTTTCGCAGCTTAGTGGGACTGTAATAATATAATACAGCATTGCCTAATATAAATGCATATTTATGAATTTATATAAAATCTTTCAAATTTGTCCTCAATTCTCTGGAATTTATAAATTAACACACTTTTTTAATATAGTTGAATCTATTGGACCTGTGAATGTATTGTGTGCTTTAATTTGTTCAGATATTTTTTAATAAATTCAAATCATTTACATGACAACATTCCTATGTGGTTTTGCTAGTATCTCCATTTTTTCGTCGTTACAATCTTACGGTGTTGAATAATAGAGATCAATGAAAGCATATGCGCAAATAACGGAGCGATTCTCAAGCGGGTTAATAAATAAATGCCTTGGAATGAGTACGAAATGTTTTGTTTTTCTATCAACCTACATTTCTGTCCATCAATTTCAATATACAAAATTATTAAAATCGATTTTTCAACGATACGCCTCCAGAGAAAAAAGTTTATTTCCATCAGTTATCAATGAACAACTGACAATCCTTTGGTATACGTTTACATTTATAAAAACGATGAAAAAAAAGAGAAACCCGATTGCAATATAGAAAATCAAAAGTAAAATAAAGATAATTTTAGATCACGCCGTACGTATTTAATGTTCTGTATAATGTTTCAATTACACCATTTCGTGAGAATGATTGAAATAAATAACACAAAACAATAAATCAAACTGGCTTCACATTATTTGGTGATTTACAAAGCTAATATTCCATCATTCTCCGGTACTCCTGTGGTTTCAAAGCTGTATATATAATCTGAATCTGTAGTAGCTTCTGCTTCCGTCGTGAATGTTTCTGTAGTAAAGAGATTATATTTAAAAAACCTTTTATATAATGGGACAGTTTACACAGAACTCATATTTTGCGGCCGACTTTCGTACTGGAAATGTACTCATATATTACAAAGGTACCCGGTATAAAATCTTTAGCAAAATAACAGAAAAAAATTAGATATAAACAAAAATTTTGTTAAATCTTCCTGATATGAATTGGATATGATATACAAGATAAAATGATATGATAGTATGATTAGCATATAGGCCTTAATCACAAAAGAAATTAAACACACCAAATGAGCCGTAACTAATATTTACCTCCTGTTGTAAACTCAGTTGTGTATTCCGTAACATCTTCTGTGCCTGTTGTGTATTCATTTGTTGTTACTTCTCCAGTTGTTACAGAATCTGACGTCGTTGTAGAATCTGACGTATCTGACGTCGTAGGTTCATCAGTGCCCATCTACGTTCAAAATTTTATTTTAAAACATGGTTTATACAATTACATTTTAGTGCATATGATTTGATGACGACATACGCATGCAATAAAGTCAATGTTGGGGGTCGATGTTGTTATACGTCTTTCTATTATATTATGGAATATATATACTATAAATCTGGATGACATTAGTAAACAAGTGTTGCTATACCACACGCTGCATTGAAACTGAATCAAATTAGGTTTGATTCAATTTGAGTTTCAAAATATCCGGTAGGCAGGAAGATTGATATTGATATTGCTTTCGAATTTGTTTAAATTGCGATTTCACCTTTGTTCTAACAAGAGAGCTAACTGCTGCCTGCGTTAAATCACCTTACTTGGTTGCTAAGATTTTTGGTGAGATAAAATATAAATATATTTTATACATGTCTTTTTATTTCTTGGAAATTGCGATTTAGATCGAAAGCGAAATTTTCGAACGATAGAATGCCGTTATTGTATTTCAGAAAATACCTGATTCATATCATATTCAATAAATCATAAGTGGGCATATTCATAGAATTTATTATTTCATCGCGATGATACATTTTTGTTTAAAAAATGAAAAATAAAAAGAAACAAATGAAAGCGGAAAATTGTTTTGTGTTAGTTTGATTTTTGAGATAACTACTGGTACAAGGCGCCACAACTCTTCAGGCCAGCATACATCAGAAGCGTATATTTCTGATTATTTGTTAACACATTCGCTACGATAAAATCGACATTTTCCCTGTATATATCCCTCCGGCAGTACATTTATAATTCAAGTACAATAAAAAGGATGGGAATGGGCGTATCTCACGCGTCACTTTAAACCAATTTGAACCTCAAATGGGATTTAATTTGCGACAAGAGGTATATTTAAGCACTGCTTAAAATAATCATCAAAGGAAATATCGCGAGCCTATACGTAATTGACATGATTTATCCACACTTCCAACACCTCTTTATGAATTCTAAACTTACCGTAGTAGGCTGATCAGTAAAAATATATTTTAAGCACGAATTGCGATACTTTACCAAAAAAAGATTTTTTTACAAAATTGATAAAATTGCAAACGGTTTCGATAACATCCATTGAATAATTGTTACGTGAACTATCGTTTACCAGAAATACTTAAAAGTAAAACGCACCAATTAGCCGTCACATAATTGTGAATTTTTTTTTTTTTAGATTCATTGGCGATTCTAACTCAAGATCAATGCGGATCCTTCTGTAAAAATTCTACCCGCCACAATTCTTCAAAGAAAAGAGTTTTCAGAAGCCGAAGCAAACCTCCAATTACAATTGTCAGTCGTCACAAGTCATAAGTAATTCTATGATCATCTCTATTTATATACTAATCACACACCTCGGTAGTTTCTTCAGACATGCCAGTTGTCATATATGGAAGTGAATCTGTAGTTGCAAACTTATCATCTGATTGATGAAATTCATGAAAATCTTTTCCTTTATCATTGAAAGTAAGGTCTTCAAAATTTGCTTCAATATGCTAAAAAAAAACGAAAAAAAAAACGACAAATTTAATTAATCGATTTGTCGAGAAAATATTTTGAATTTTTCCATCGCCTAAATGTATATATAAATTTTTATAATATGGATAAAACATTAATATAATTTAATAACATACGACGTTATAAATTTTGTTTTAGCAACAATGCTACATAATCTCGAAGGATTGTAAACGCAGGAAATCGCGATTGTATCGGCAACAAATACATAAACCAAATACACCAATCAGATTAGTTCAAACATAAAAACAACTTTGATGATGAAATGTCTAAATAATAAACAATAAAACAAATTTATTTATCTACTTTTACAATATAAAATTAAGGCCTTTAAAGAAAATCAAAACGTACAACTTTACCTGATATGGATATGCACTCGAATAAGCCAAACAACTCACAAATACTATAATACTAATCTTCATTTTTATCTGTTACTTTTTAATTTTAAAATTTGGTTACTGATATTAGCGACTCTTTTGCTTCACAATATTTCAACTTAATGGTGGAAACTTCTGAAACGCGTCGTTTTTATAACCAAGACATTCAGCTACAATTTTGTGACGTATAACGATGGAACTTTCCTCTCTCCGATTACGTGAAGAAAACACCGATGTCTGACGCAAATGGAGGCGTCAAAGATGATAAAGTAGTCCGCATATCGCTTTTACCTCATATGGTCTTTGGTGTAATGCTTATTATTTACCTCGCATGGGGTATACATGTACCCTACAATCAAAATACCATTTATCTATGATCCACCCATGGTCTTTATCTAGATTCTAGATCATTCCAAAGTTTCTGAGAATTGCCTGGAGCGAAAATCAATATATATGGTAAAATACAGCATTCGAATTCAGAATGTTCTGCGATCCAAAATCATAATTATTCAACACATTATAATAACAATATCTGAAAAGAATGAATTAATCCCACTAATTAGTCTTTTCAAACTAGACGAAATCTTTAACGCAAACATACATTAATTAGATACCTGGTAATGAGAAGGTCCCGTACAATTATTGATAACGAATCATTTTATTGCATTATACAGACTTGTAGCTCAGCTATTGTTTCAACAAGTTATAATATTGAATGTACGATAGAAGATTCCATCTACCATTTTACGGTTGTTTCTGAACAACCAAGCATCTGATTGCTTATGACAGATTAATGGGTTAGGTACCACGGTAGTTTTTGTCTTCCGAATGTGTTTTCAATATATATATATCTCACAGTTACTTACTAGAATGCTATTTTTCTTATTGTTATGAAAGAACCACCTTTCTCATTAACCCCCGAACCAAATGCTTTGCTTTGAAAGTGGTTGAAGATTGTATTTTTCGTAAGAAGGCTATTACTTTTGTTCATTTCATAACTTTCTGTGGGCTGTATGGGATTTTAAAAAATTGCGCACCTTGTGGCGGTTCCGCTTTCGCATTAGGGGTTAGGCGAAATTGTGAAGACTATGGTACCGGTAGTCTTCTGTGACAGATTGCATACCCGTACTACTTCGGTTTGGCCTTCCTTGTTCATCGGCGCATCTATAACACAGGTGCTGTAAAGACTAGCCAATACGAAGAGTTTCTCTGAATATAATCAATTACAATTACGCTTTAAATCTAATTTAGATAATTGAGTGCCCGATTTTAAAATAACATTTAATAAGGAAAAGGAAGTTTATTTCGAGCGATTTTTTTACATGGCATATGATTATGAATATAGAATTATAAATTAATTGAATGGTAAGCATGTGCAATTATGTAGTACTTTTAATCGACGTTTGGCACAAAAGAAAAGAAAATTCATGACAGGCTAGTAATAAATCCAATTTATTTTTATAATTCATTTAGAAAACTAAAACCAACTTCTGCACCACCCAGTATTGCTCTCATTGCTTTGAAATGTTAAAATTAAAGGGAAAATGGTTCATGAAGCTGACAAAAAAGCAGATACAAAGATATTGACTGAATGCAAGCAAAGATAGAGTGTATTACTTAAAAACATATCGCCTGGCTCAAAACAAGTAAAACAAGAATGAACACGACAACGTTCAAAATTATGTAAATTTTTTATTTCAATTTTTATGTAATACAAAATTATACGCACATTCTATAGCAGAGTGGCTTTTTTCCGCGCTCAGTCGCACATAAACAATCGATAGTGGAATGTTTTCTTAGTTCGTTATAACAAAGATTTTTACCTACAAAATTTTGATTTTCAGATAAAATATTTTCAGTTGGATACAACAAGAATTTGGAGCGTTCCAATTCATTCATTCTTGTAGATCAGCGCATATCACACACTGTCAAAGGCGATCAACATTGTTCGCTTGATAACACTGTGTCAACTCTCGTGCCAAAGTTTCGAGTTGCAATTTGGGATTCGAGATTGTTAAATTCTGTAAGTTCGTGCCTTCGGAAGTGTGCGCACTTACAGCTACCTACCTGCTTTTGCAAAAGTATATAATTAAATGAGTCAATGTCATACATTGAGCAAGTGGATCGACCCATGATGACACAAATTACTGAAATTATGTCAATTGCAGCGATTCAAACTCTTTGCAATATTGGCTTTCTTTACTATTCTTTCATAAATAGAACTGCATGTAGCCTACGCGCACGTGATATGAGTCATTTGAACACAACTTACACAGAACATTTGTGCACTTAACAGATGTCAATTCTACGTGATGGCACTACAGATTTTCGAATTTCAAGGCGTAATTATAATATACTACGTAGGGAATTGGCTTTACAAAAACGTACTTTCACATTGAACTCTGCGAATACTTATTAAATAACATATATATATATGGCTAATGAATAAAATAAAAGATGTATATGATTTGGCCATTCTTCCAATTTTAACCGCACACTCAATTTACTCATGGCATGAGATTAGAAATAAATCCATCGAGATTCTAAGTATTTTCAAATGAACCAAAAGGTCGTCACCTTCAGAAATAAATCCATCGAGATTCTAAGTAGTTTCAAATAAACCAAAAGGTGGTCACCTAAATTATACAAAGCCTTGTTTCCACTTCGTGTGGTCAATATGCTTTTTGGGTCATGCAGCCTATATTACAAAATACAGTAGAGGCGCATTGTTTAGTACTGAAATGGGATACGTAAAGGGTTTTAAATTTCATTCGTTATACTAAAAACCAGACTGAAATTCAATATGGATCAACCAAAATCTCACAGTCGCGAGCGAGATATTATTATTACAAGCCAAAAACGGAGTATCTTAGACTTGGAATCTATTTATACGTTATATACTGAAAGAGGTTTTCATAAAATAGCATATCTTATTAAATTAGCAAGTATTAATATTGATTAGTAGAATGTATGTAGATTTCAAATACCTGACTACGTGATATATCCGATTTAAAACCAGCAGTATGACGTTACTTTTCTCACACGAATATCGTGATTCTTTATTGCTTTCGTGAACGTCTGAATTTTACATGCTTGTTCAATTAAATTCAACTCACTTATTTAGAAAATATTGCTCGACACAATATGTGGGCCACAGATTAAACTAGGGTTGTCATGGTGCATCTAAGGTTGTATCATACGAAGCATCACGTTGCCAAACAATTATGTATTCATGCAGACGAGATTGAGCTCTAAAAGTATCATTACGATATAGGCAGCAATAGGAATTCTTTCAGTCGCCCATTAAAATACCAGAAGAGAGGTTATTCTAAAACTGATGTTGCATCGTTGAGCTCTGAAAGTAAAAGTAAAATATAGTTTCAAAATTTCTCACCAGAAGTGCAGTAAATTTAATGAATATTTGGGCCTCCAGAAATGTGTGTACTCATATAGAGGTAACTAATATTGTTCGTCTACTTTACATCAAGTTGTGTAAAGGGACTGAAACCTATGGGTAGGAATATATTCATTCGGCTAACACAGACAGTCCCCGAACTCGTAATAGAACTAAAATAAGGAAAATCTGAATAAAATCACGGCCTAACTCTAACCCGGTACACACAGTACGGTAGTACCATTATTTTATACTTAGCGAGTGTTCCAACAGATAAAATAGTTTTTGTCGTATCACTCGCTTATGTTTTTTTTTAACTTGGAAACTTTATCTAAAAACTTCGCTTGAAAATAGTGGCTTTAACTAACTTTCCACGTTTTGCATGTCTAACACTAGATCAAGTTATGAGGAATTTTAATTTGTTTGGCTCTATTGCCGTACAGAGTCGTTCGTTGATTAGAAAATGAATTTTTACTTGGTAAATTCTCATCGACATTTTGAGGAAAATGGCTTTGTGATATATACTGGATAATCTGGTGTTCCGAGATTTTGATTACGCTTAAAAAACGAAAATTACTAACTCATCATTCAGTTAAGAAAACCTCTTACGTAGAAACTTCTGAAACAAAACGATGAAAATCGTATTACTAACAGTCATATTATTAATCATTGCTGAATGGGAAGTAGAGAGTTTTACATTATCAAATAAGCAGGTAAGAATATTTTATACAACACTGTATGTTAACAGAGTTTGTGAGCTTCAAAAATTGTAACTTTTTTACACTAATCATTTAAAAATACATCAATAATAAACGGCATATTTCCTAAAGCATGTTCTTGAGCATTCAAAGGTAGAAGGAGTTTACTGAAAAAAAGTTCGTTGAATACTTTCAAATTCCAACCTTGAACGGACTACTTTTTTAAAGACCAAAAAATGAAATGAATAAAACATTTTGTGTGGAACAAAATCAACAAATTCCGAAAACATAGCTCTGTTATAGTATACACAATATAATAAATAATCGAATAGGATGAAGTATCATTAACGAGGATCTAATGAGGCGTTTCATAACTTCTTCATCAAGAAGGCTATGCAAAAAATATTCCTGATACGTAAGGAGTTACCATAGCGCAATAACCCCGAATTTGAAAATTTAAAATGCAAGTATCAAATACATGCTAACTCAATTTTCTTGTTTCGTTTTAATTTGCGACTTTACTCAAGCAAGCTGGTTTTGCAAGACTTTTCTGGTATATATTTAATATAAAATAAATACCGGTAAGTTACTTTATATATTTCATTCTTTATATGTCAGTGGCAATTATATATTTTACATCTATCGATGGGCATTTTGTTTTCTTTGTATTTACAATACAAATAAACTTCCACGTAATTGCAACTCATAATTTACTTAAATAGGCTCTCCACGATTCACGATATTTACTAAGTAGAGTCAAAAGAAAGTTTGGAAATCGTGATACCGGAATAAAAAAGAACACATACCTAGACGATTCAAATGAGTGAGTAAACTGTGATTGTTTGAAATAGATAAATATTATAACATATTTTGATTAGGAACGTTCAACAGGAATAGCCAAAAAATATATAATGCTACTTTGGTCAGCGGTCTCAGCGGTTTGTGATGTCAGTGATTTTAGTTAAGGTTAAGAACTGAATTCTATGATAATCTCCTTATGAGATTGAGATCGCGTTAAGCAAGTGATATCGCATAGTGAAGTGGCACCGAATGTATTTACAGTATATGCGTCATATATTTCCATCGATTAAAAAATGGAATACTTCCAGTTTATGTGAACTTGGAAATTTTCAATTTTACATTTGTCTTGTTTTTCTGTAACGTATGATTAACTACATTTCCTAAACTGGTAAATTATTTGAGATTCATTTAATGAAGTCTACATTCATTATTTAATAAAAAAGTGTTTCATATAAAACAGCCTCATTCTAAAATACAGATCAGCTAAACTTTATATTCAATTTGAAACAGAATAGACAATGAAGATCGTAAGGAACGCGACGTAAACGATCCATACAGAAAGGACGCTCTATTGCTTATTAGAGATTTGAGAAAGTTGTATGGTATGCATCAGGGTAGCAATGATGAAAAAGATAACGAAATGGAGAATGACAAGTTGAAAAGTGCGATGAAAAGAATTTTACTAACATCTAGCCAATATAGGAGCAACGCAAGATCTTATACGGACAAACTAACCAACGAATATGAAGGAATGGGATTTGACAATAATCTAGCTGTTGCTCTCGGTAACCTTGAACGCAAGATGTCGCCAAAGAAGGAGGCATGAATTCACCAGTCAGACGGATATCAGCGAGTATTTTGCATTGCTTGTCATTAATTACATTCCAAATGTCAACACCTCTAAAATAGTGTGAAGATAATTACAGTTTAAATATTGGAAACTTTCAATATTTCCAATCTTTTTTTTATGACCAGCGACAGATTTAAAAGAATGTTTTAATATATTTTAGTATTTGTCCATTCTAATCATATCATTTAACGCCAAATGCAGATACGAAATATTCAGTAGATCAGACCAGTCTTGCAAGAGGTTTCAAAGTTTAATATCTTTCATTTCAAAACTAAAATACATGATGAAATATGATATCGTATATCTGGTTTGTCTTAATTCTTGAATATATAAATTTGTTCAAACGATAAATTAACATTTTCTAATGAACTGTCGTGCATATAGAAATGAAAGACGCATACTAAAGATGAAATGCCGCGATTATGGCATTGCATTTCAACTCAAAGCTATCTTCCTGCTCTTGTTGATTTTGTGAAATCTACCAAGAGAGTACTATAGGCATATACAAAATTTTGATTTAAATTGTCTGGCGCAAAAGACTCAAATTGTTTAAAGCGCCATATATTACCATACCACACACACACTTCTATTAATCTACACACATGACTGCATTTAAATAATGTTATCTTTGCATGAGTTGTTGTGGTTTATTTGATCTTATGATTATAATATATCAGAATCAGTTTTTTTTTTGCGAGTCAACAAAGTTTCAAATATTTTATACTAAAGCTAACGCCTGTCGAATTCATAATTAAATAATCATCATAGGTAACTAGCTTTCGTGTGTTAAGTTACTAAATTAGAAATAAAAACAGCAGTAGAGAAATTAAATTTAAGAAAACAAAGTCTAATGAGTAATATTTTTGGAACGAGAGAGCGGTTCTCAAGTATATGGACACGAAAACTAAAACGAAACAGTACGAGTATGCAATCTGTCCCAGTAGGCTATCGGTACGGCAGTTTTACGAGTAACACGAACTCAGTACCGTCAAAAAGTGCGCAATTTGGATGACGTCATCGCACAAAGTAATAGCCTTCTAACGAAAAATAAAATATTTGAACCGCTGAAAAGCAATTGGTTGAGTAGTTAATGAGAGCGACAATAAAATTCCAACAGCAGCAACAACAACATAACTACAAAACGATTCATATGTACATTTCGTGTCCAATAATTGATCAAAAAAGGTTCAGGGTGTTTTATTCTTTATCGATTCATTTTATTTCTTATTTGTTCCTCATATATTAGGAGTTGCAATAAATCGTATCGCGTATCGTTTCTATCTATAATTTTTTCTATTAGGATTGGTAATACTTTTTATTATACCAAATGTGTAATCTAATACAAGTCTTCCAATTCCCAATATCGAATATAGATTTTACTGAGCAACAGCCTGAGTATGATACTATCTGAGACACGAAAGTTAAGTTGTAGAATTTGTTAAAATTTACCGGTAATTATAGTTACTTTATTATAGTTAGTCAGAGCCAAAAATGTCCGAGTTCAATAATTTTGGTTTTGTGCAGGTGATTGTTACATGCGCCCAAGGCTATAAAAAACAACATATATATGTTTGAAATAATTAGTAAATTTGAGAGCAGAGTAAACTTGATGACCTCGCAGTTTGTAAATCAAAGATAAGAAAATGCTGAGAAAAGATTACATTAGAATACCGTATAATGTATATAATTTCTATAACAGAAGTTACCGCACAAATATGGACATTTGAAACGCGTGTTAGATGTTAGAAACAGTTTTAGAAGAGTGAAGTGTATAGACCAAATTTTGCGAACAGATTTTTAACAAAGAAATATCATATTTTTTGTCTATCTGAATACTGAGAAAATTTGTTATTGTTGGTATACTTTTTATGGGGCTTATAACAACAGTGGTCTTTTGCGTCATTGATCAATTCGGAAAAATCCTATACTAACATATTATACAATATTTACAAAAAAATAATTATACAAATGATTCAATTATATTAAGTAATTAATCCAAAGTATTTCTGCTCGTAGACAAAACAAATTCCATATCAGTTTCTACCAATAGTAAAACATATTCTATCACGAAAGCTTGTTTTCACAAATCAATTTCGACAAGATGAAAGCAATTGTGTTGATCAGTATGCTTCTTATTGCATATTTCACAAATGTTGCAGAACCGCACGGACAAGTGAGTATTTGAATTAAAAATTATTTATTGTGTGTTTGATTTTACTCTCATTTCGGGTCTTAGAGCGAATATAGAAAATCACAAGTGTCACAAGCATGATTTAATTATGCTTCTCGAAGGATATGTGTGGGAAGTTTTTTTTTAGCGAATTCATAAAAAAATTAAAGCAGAACAAAAGCTCGTAAAACGAAACCTTCTGGGGCATCACTTTATTTTTTTCATTTTATTTTTTCATTTTCATTTGAAAAACGAAACCTGCTGTTGGTAACAAATAAGTGGTTTGTATTTTATAGAGATAGAGAAAAATTCTCTCAAGAACCCAACGTCCGAGAAGTTATATCTAAAAAAAATCATATTTTGAAGGAATAGGTGCAACATTGCACTGTAAATTAAAATAGTGTTAACGATGTTAATATTAGTAACCCGATATCATAACATTTTCCTTATTGCACAACTGGTTGTACGCCAATAAATTGGTTTAACTGAATGAAAAAACCGCTTTTCTGTTCAACTAATGGAATAATCGCTTTCAATTTCAATTTCAGGGTATTTCGAGGGCCTCGTTTCTGGACCGCCTGAAAAGAAGTCTGAATTATAGGTCGAAGGATGCAACGCTTGATTTCATGAGACACGTCAATTCAATAAAGTGAGTTCGCCATTCCTTCGTTGAGCACGAATGAGTAGCCTACATATCGATCGCTTTGTTATTATGTTGTTGTTCTTGTTGTTGGTATTTTTGATGCAGAAATCGTTTCCTCCTCAACTACTAACTTCCTTCGGAACTTTCTGTGGTATGCGATGACGTTATTAAAATTGCGCAGCGTGTCGTGGTTTCGTGACCACATGTCTGTCAGTGATCATCAGTGATGGTCAGATAAACCAGTACGATAAAAGATTTGATACTACTTAGTTTCGGCCTCCCTGTCAATATATTTGAGCATCGCTCTCTTGTTACTTCATAATTTTGCATTGTCCGTATGCTTTATTTCTAGTAATTTCCAGATTGAAATTATAAAAATGTGTAATGATAAATAGGTCACGTGAGAGCCGCAGAAAAAGACAAGCAGCTGTAACAGATGAAGACACAGATGTGGGGCAGTCATACAATCCTAATGATCCTTCGGGTAATTAGAAGACCTTAAGTTACATTAAAATGTGAACGAAAATGATATTTGATATATTCTTCTGCTTTGTATGGGATTTGAGTAAGGTATGATCAGGGGCGTGCCAAACTTTTCTGTTGTGTTGTGTGGCGAGATTCTGATAATGAGGCCCCTATTCCTCACTTCAAAAGTAATTCGGGGGATAAACAAATTATAGATGTTGTTATACATAATAAAGGAATAAATTAAAGGTCACGTAGACAAGTTCATTGGCAGAAAAGGGAAGTCAGCAATTGCTGAGTGTAAGAAGGATATACGCCGGATAGTTTTAGTTATTGTAATAGTGCAGGGATGCCATATACCGTTGCATTTCAAGTTATGTCGTTAGTTGACCAAATCGATTGTCGAACAAAAGTAATATAATCAAAAATAATATAATACAAGAAACTTCAACTTCGTCACGAGTTTTGCAACAAATAGTGAATACTTAACATTTTCTTACTTTGGATGACGACAGTCGTAACGGGTAGCGTTGGCTGTGAGGTTGAATGGGGATTGATGACTGCAATAGATTGCTACTCTAGGTGGCGGCTTCGGGAATGAATTCTCGTCGCAAATATTCTATCACGGATTCTTATATGGTGTGACAAACTACTCACGTGACTATCTTGAATCCCATCTTATACCCATTAAATAATAATTAAAAGAAGGAACAGTGGGTGAACTCAAAACATGGTATCCATTCATGGAGTCGTAGGGTTCCAGTATATTCAAAAGATAGAGCAAGGAAACAACTGTAACTTTGTTCTTTTTCTGTTTTAACATCGTGTTGCATGTGTATCAATATATAAAATTTTACTTTTACAAAGTTCCGTCTCACCTGCAACGAGCTTTACCTACAAAACTATATGTGGAAAGGCGGTATTGGAGGCGTTAAGAAGCACTCATGATCATTTGAAAATATCAATACGAGTCATCCCATGTCATTTCTCATGACCTGCTAGAATCACCAAAATTGTTATGATTCCTTCAATGGCGTGTGGTCTTATTTTATGACGTATAAACTCAAAAAACTAAAATTAATATTGCCACATGAAGGTGGATACATATTATACTAAACTACGCACGCGATGTTACATTTATTTATTTAAGAATAGTAATAGGTATGAATATGAATTATGCGCTTATGAATAATTTATAACGATCTACAAATATAGTATGTCCTCAAAAAAGGACAATAGCTTGTATGATCAGAATGCCCGTAATTATGAAGACAATTTTGCTAATAGTCATGGTGACGATAATGACTTCGATAAACTTCAACTAACTCCACGTTATATATCCAACAAACCATACAGAGTAAAAAAAAATTAATGAATTCTGGCACTACAATATATATATTATCTCAACTTATTAATAAGTTCCCAAGAAGGGTATTTTTATTAGGTCACATTATTTGCATCGCAGAGTCATGATAAAAAACACTTAGCTACATGCGTTTTTCGAAGCAGCCTCATTACTGGGAATACAATAAAATTTTTGACTATTCAAGGTTAGATTTCAAGTATATTTTTATCTGTATAATACAGGTTTAAGATGCGGTTAAAGTACAGGTGTTCTATTATATTGGAATAATTTTCAGTTGGCAGGAGGTTAAACGATTATAAATTGGCAGGCAAACTAAACAGAACACAATTGAATTCGTCAAGCTCAAGTATTTAATAAAATTCCAGATTCCAGTGGCAGTTGCCTCTGATGCCTTTCTAACGTGAGGGAGCCAGGATCAAATGCAAAGTTTAGTATTTGCCAAAAAGTGAAAGATCATTTAAATACAGAATTAATACTGAGGTGCTTGAAACTCTGTCTTTACCTATATATGATTTGAACTTCAAATTTCCGTAAGAAGGGTAATATTTGTTCGGATACGAAATACCGCGTCAAATCATTTTGCAGCTAACAAGTAATGATGTAACTTTTTTTTCTTCATTAAAGGAGCAATGATTCACTTTAAATATTTTCACAAAATGTGAACAACAAAGAAAAGATTTACAAAAACAATACCCAATAGAAATTAAGCTATTTAAATACACCAAATATTGGAAGAACAATTTCTCGAAAGAAGCCTTCCACTGAGTTTTGCTTTTCTCCATTCCAAGATGATGGATATGCATTTGCCTGGGACGCCTGTTGCCATAGATATGAATGTCGAATTACAGGTATTTTTTTTTTAGTTATATCGCTGATTTATTCTTTTTAACAATTAATTTTTTAACAATGTGTTCATCGGCTATCGGGTGGATTATTCTGGTTCGTCTAATAATCCTAGAATGGGACTACGTACAGGAAGAATGGTTGAACCTCGTCTATTAACTATTATATTGTTATAGAAGAGTATGAAATTTATCTCAAGATAGGTAAGCTGATATGACGTCACACTCAAACCACGACTAAGTTTATGTTTAGCTGGCCAGTTCTAGTTGAACGTGACTGGAAAGCACGCTTGTCGCATTTTACAACCAAGACAGTAGTTTGTATATGTTTTGAGGGGCATTTTCAGAAAATTATTATAAAATTCATAACTTAATGAAAGATTTAGGTATACAAATTTGTTCATGTTGATAAACACATCCTACAGATATGAAACAAAATAAATTTCTACACTCCGCGAAAGTGTCTTTATTTCTTATTATCGGGATAATGAAGATACTGATTAATTTTAAATACCGAACTAGGAGTGAATCTCAATCTTGACAGAACTCCTGCCTTCGTGAATTAATTAGGACTTATCTGTACCCCACACAGTTATGCCACGGAGTTGCTAATAACAAAACACTTTCGCTATCAATAGTTTAATTCCCATCGACACGAAGAGATCAATTATAGTATATTAACCTATGTTTCCGCAGGAACTGGACGATGAAATTAATCGACCACCGAGTTCACACTCGTCTGTATCAATTCCTTCATTACCGTCTGGATCACGACCTTCCACAGGAAAATCTTCACATCCATCGAACAATATGTCACCAAGATCTACGCCGTTGCCATCCTCCATGTCAAACAAATCGATTCCAAAGTTCCCTAGGTCAGCAACCCCGATGTCTTCAGCTGCTTCGAGGCCGCCAAGCAGCCAGATTTCCAAATCAGTAAAATCCTCTCAATTTTTGCGACCAATGACAGCAGCGTCAAGCGGGTCTTCGTCGTCCTCGTCTTCTTCTCCACACGTCACCGATTCTCAATCAGCAAGTCCGCGTCCACCAAATACAAAATCTGCTGTATCTCTGCGATCGTTTGCTGATTCACTCTTTCAGTTGCCAAAATCTGCGTCGCGAGCCGCGTCTCCAAGACCACCAACCGCTGGTTCTCGTCCAACAACCGCAGAATCGCGAAAATCAAGCACCAAGTCCAATTCCGGATCGAGCACTGGATCCATGGGATCGAGGTTGTCGATGTCAAACTTGGATGTTTCACCGGAAGAGGATACTCAATGGAGGGCTAAATTGCGGCCGCATTGTTTCACGCCTCACTTGAGCGAAAAGTAAGAACTCCAACAAATATTGACCTCAAATTAAAATCGCAATCCCATCATTTCAAGCCAATAATTTCTTTCCCCTAGGCCCTAAGCATCACTCATCGCGATTATGAGCTTTTATATGCTCATATCAGGCTCTCATGCTCGGTACTTCACATGTTTAAAATGGTGACCGTACATTTGAACCCATGTACATTTGAACCCATGCGTATATCCACGGGTTCAATCTATATGCGGGTGCTAAAACCCATGGGGGAGGGTTAGTATGGGTTTAACTATCCGTGAAACAAAAAAAATTCCATAGCTGCAATAGCATACAGGTGCAGTTGTCATGGGTTCAAATGTACGTGGGTTCAAATGTAATGGAACCGTTTAAAATGGATGTCGAGTCCAATAAAAATGATAGAATTACATGTACAAAAATCTAGCATTTATCGCATTTTAATTTCAGTGTGAATGATTTCTTGTGATACTAAATCAATTCTTTAATAAAATATTTATTGTTTATTCATACAAGGTATCTCTGTCCTGCTTGCACGAATGTTTTATATTACCCTGTCCAGCTGTCGAACTGCGATCATCAAGTATGTAGTTCCTGTCTCTCAGATATTATGCGTGGAGTGAGATGCTGCCCAATAGACAAAAAACATATAGATCGATCACAGGTATCATTATTTTTAAATAAACTACTTCTGCAGACATTTTCTATCAATTTTAACTGACGAAAGAAAGTAGTTTAAATTTGAATGAAATTTTATTTTAAAATTTCAGGTTATTGTGCGACGAGATTTCAGCCGGGAATTGAACTCCAAAAAACTATGTTGTCCTCAAAATGATCTAGGATGCTCCTGGACTGGAACGTATGAAAATTTCAAGGTAACTTACAGGGTTAAACTATTTAGTTAAAAATTGCTGGGACCACATTATTCCTCTGAATAAAAAAAGGGATTACCACTAAGTGGTCAACATATACGCGCTCTGGAAGAATATCAGGTAGCAATCGTTTGTAAAGTTTAATGCCAGATTGAACAAGGGATATATATATATATAAAATTATTAGCCTATGCTCTATAAGGATACTATTTTGTATAAACTTGAAAGCGATTTGTTCAGTATTTAACCAGGAAAGGGGTATTTTACTTTAAGAACAATGAAAGCAAGACGTTTACATAGTGACCACTTTACCAGTGCTTGTGCACTTAAAGCCCAAGAGCCATCATCTTTAAAAAGGGAGGAATCAAAAATCCTATGACGCAATTTCAGAATCCTGCATACGTCAAACTCACGATTACTATCTAATGTCTCTTGTGTAATTTGTCACAGCTATTATTTATGAGGTTGAACAGCTAATTTTTGATATCTCAGGAACATTATAGTTCATGCGAGCACGCTGACGAAAATTGTACAAACGGATGTGGATTCCGCAGTGAAAAACGACACATGGATAATCATTTGATAAATGAATGCTCTCTTCGAATGGTGACTTGCGAATTCTGCACAAGAGCTGTGAGAGCGGAGAAAGAGATTGATCATTTGAAACAGTGTCCGAGATTTCCAATAAGCTGCTCTAATACTTGTGGAACGAAGGTAGGTTCTCATTTATTACTTCATTTTACTCGTCATGTTATCCTTCGTCCATCACCCTTACTTTCCTCACTCATTCCTGACTTCCTTGCTTCTCTCTTCTTTATCCTATTTCTCATATTTTTTTTCATAAATCACCCCACTACAATTTTTGCTGAAAATCTTACTCACGTTTTTTTAGCAAATTCCGAGAGAAGAACTAGCTCGCCATATTGAAGAAGAATGTCCGTTTGGAGAAATCAAATGTCCTTTTAACAGATTGGGATGCTATGTGGCGGTGAGAAGGAAATTATCATTCTCTCGATTTATTTTAGAATTTTCTGTATAATGTTTTAACTGAGCCTGACTTAGATACAAGAATTCTACACGTAGGCTACTTTGTATGTTGTATTATACGCAGATTTTTGAGTATAATGCCACAACGTATGTTTTGCGCAAAGATGTCGCATTCTATCCTATAAATAGAAAACACTCTTTGACAACAACTTTCTGTATGTTTGCTCTTTCGAAATGGGGGACATGGGAAATGGTTCAAAGTACTTGCATAGTGCACGTCTACAGCTGACCAGTTCATGCGGCATAACTTTATATTTATCTACCAGGGCACGAGAGATTTTGTTCGTCGTCATATCACCGATGACCTTGCAAATCATATGGAAATGTTGTGTCGAGGTTTGAACGAAGCAACGGATTTGTTGGATGAGCATGGCAAGGCTATCACAAGCCACGAAACTAAAATCCAAGATACCACTTTACAGGTACGTGGTGAAAGATTGATAAACTGCAGTCTACCATGAAAAGTTTTTTTTCAATAGGATAGTACAGTAATATGACTCGGTATTTTTCACATCCCATTCTCAATAGGGCTGGGCATTTTCGAATACCTCATGATTTTAGTATCGAAGTGAATATTTTTTATGATCGAATCTCGATTACTTGGAAGATATGTAATTTTATGTGATTTTCTTACTTTAATGGGTGCTCCAGATACACAAATTACTGGAAACATACAATCTATCACCCACGCTGAGTATTTGCACACACTGAGAACCTTTTTTCATCAATAACTTACCAGAAAAGAAAGAGTCATATGGCAGAAATGCATTTTAAAAATATGGCTCCAGTAAAAAAAAATGAGGAATTCACCTTGACCTATGTCGGACAAAAAAGGCAAATTGGGGCGATTCGAAATTCTCGTCTGAACTGATTCGTTTTGAATATTCGATTCGAAATGCCCAGCCCTAAGTGTCAACGCTTCACAAGGGTTATACGATGCAGACTATTTCTTTATCAGAACAACATAAGACTATTTAACGAAAAATTAATTTCAGATTTCGAATGTACTGAGAACACAAGGTTGCCAACTTTTATGGAAAGTTGATAATTGGGCTCAAAGAGTAGTGGAAGCAAATTCGGGGAAGAAAACTATTTTACGAAGTCCGCCATTTTATACGGGAAAATATGGGTACAAACTGGCTCTTACATTGATGCCCAATGGAGATGGAAAAGGTAAGATTTGCAATTCAACTTTACTACTTTAGAATAATGTTGGTTCGGCTAACACATGGCTCTCTCTCTTCCGAACAGCTAAAGGCAACTGCTTGTCTCTATATGTGTGCTTGGTAAAAGGGGAATACGATGCCTTGGCATCCTGGCCGTTCAATATGACAATAACGTTCACGCTGGTTGATCAATGTCAGGATCCTAGAGCAAAACTGGATCATGTGTATGTGTTGAGACCTAATCCATGCAAGGTAAACTATTTGTAACTTTGAATTAAATTACTGTTACCAGGCACATCGAAATTCTGTTATATTCGGTTTTATCTATATTTGAACGTGTCATTCTGATTCGTTAATCACTATTTCTATAGATGTTAGTGTCTGAAGAAGATACTTAGTTTGATGCCACATATGAACATTGTATGCAATGTGGTTTCGTATCTCCTAATCTTCGTTTTAATCTCCTTCCAAACTGGGAAAGCAATATCCGAAATATCCTAATATCGTCCTTGCCGCACAATTACCTTCCCGCCTCAGCGAAACCCATATTACCCCAACGGAAATGTGATACGGGAGCTTCACACGAGGTAGCTTCAGGCTATCGAAAACTGATAAGGTTATTGGAAAAAGCCAACAAAGTGCTTACTTGAAGCGGCATTACGATTCAGATATGACATGTTCATATTATGAATATTGATCCTAAGCAGATCGTAATCTGATCCGTGAAAAATTTTTGTTTTGTTTTTTAGGATGTTTCTTGAAATAACATTCCCCTCTTTTGTTTTCATTTTTCAAAATGTATAATATTATATTCATATTCAAAAAAAACGAATAAAAATGATTTTGATTTTTAAATTTCGTGCTCTGCTGAGTTTACATGGTCAAATGCGAGCAATAAAGAGTGGGATATCTAAATAATGAAGTATGGCATGTATTCCAGGAAAGTCTTTTACCTTTTCTTACACTCTAAATGTCTTTCTTTACAGTATACCGTTCTTGCTCCAAGTTATGCTATTTTTGCAGGAAAATCTGGCTTTTCTAGGACGACCTAATGTCAACGCAAATCCAAGTTTTGGAGCGCAGTCATTTGCACCGCTGGATTTATTGGAGACACGTGACTATGTTCGTGATGACGTCATATTTATCAAAGTGCAGACTGACCACGAAGAATGAATTGAATGAAAGAAATTTTTTTCGCATTTTTTTTTCAACTACCGACATTTCACTCTAAATGTTGCTGCTTTTTGTAATTCACGAACACATCTTTCAGTGATACTTAGTATAATTCATTTAACTTCGGATTTCCGTTGAAATTGAGGTGGCCATATTGACCATTTGACCTTCGTGTGTGACCTTGTATTCATATATATATATATATATATATATATTTGATAATTGCTTTCGTATTTCAATAATTTTTGCACATGTAGAAGTTGAACTCGCATGTTCATTAATACGCTCGTCACGACTTCGTTCTTCACTGATATCGGTATATTTCACGAACTCATCTTCATATGACTCTCCGTGCAATTCTATTAACATTTGTCTAGATTTTAGTTACCATTGCGGTAATCATACCGGCCATTTGCAAAATGACCACTTAACCTTCGTCGCCCGTTATTTGCCTATATATTTGAGCATTTCTCTCTTGTCAATTGATTTTGCCAAGTGTGGAGGTCGAACTTGTATGTATGTAAATGGATCGCCATGACCAATTCTCATGACGTTCATATTTTAGGCTTTCATTGTGTGGAGCAATGCTTCTTAACCTGGGTTCGATCGAACACCTGGGGTTCGATGAAGCCGTACCAGGGGTTTGACGAAAGTCCTCTGGAAGATTTGTAATATTATGAAACCTTCTTAATATCCTATTATCCAGCAGACTAATTATGGAAACTTAGCTATAGTTCACCTCAGATATTCAAACTTACATGTTTAAAAACTCATAATATTGTGTGTAGCTTTAGTGAACTTCTAACTGACTGTTACACATTAGATACCAATTGCAATTCATCGAAAACACATATCGTCACAGATGTCGTACGACTTGGTGTAGCCTGCTTTCTATTATAGCGCCATTTTGGGTTTTCTGCATGCTCTTTGGGTTTTCTGCATTTAATTGGCTGCGAGCTGCTAGGAATTCATTTTCCTCCAAATTTGAGTCGCTTAAAAAGGTTGAACTAATGTTTTAAAATTACACCACAATTATCCTTCCTATATTCTTGTGCACAGTTAGCTTCTCCTCATATAGTTCTGATTACGCTTTTATCGTTCAATACGATGGGGTTCGACGGGGGTTTGTGGAATAGCGCAGGGGTTCGACAGGCTCGCAAAGGTTAAGAACCACTGGACTGTAGAGTTTGAATGAAATAATATTGGAATTATAGTTTGAAATAAAGATTATACCTTGCGAAGGTTATAAACTTCTGGTTTTTGGTAAGCTGTCACTCAAAAAACACGATTTAAAAATGAATATATTATGTATATATATATATATATTTCCATTGCAAATTTCTATATATATTTGTTGTTTAATTAACATACATGACTAAATTATGGAGAACTAAACGCCTTGTGTACATCATTATTTCGCTCATGAGCGATTGTCGATAATTTGATCAAATCAGCCAACTCTTCTGAATTATTTTTTGAGTCGAATCTGATTTGGGAAATTTATGTAAGGTTATGATGTTGTGCCGAAGAAATTGAAAAAAATATAACTGGTGTCACAATTTCCAAAGCGAAAGTGGTAGATCGACGGATGTCAATTGACAAACCACAGTAGATCAGCATGCTTGAAGTATTGAAATGCCTCAAACCAAGACCCAATACAAAAGCAAATCGCAACTACCATCTAACTGAGTTTATCGAAAAAGCTGACAGATCAGTCAGGCGATATGCCGCATGATGGCGCCATATGCGCAAAAATTACACAGAAAAATGACCCACAAATACCCTTTGTGTCGTAAAAGCCAGCATTGCATAACAAGGAGCATGAAACCAACATATAAATTTGCGTGCAAATATACAAATTTGGTCAAAGCAATTAAATGTTGATTCGGAGAAGAGTTCCATGTGAGTGCTTTATTCGAGGAACCCAGCAATGCCAAATTATTATTTTAACGTATTTACTGCTGAGTGCTCATGCTACAAATAAAAATTTCACTCTGCACGAAACAAATCTATGTTTTTGCCGAGAAATTTATTAAGCAAAAGAATTTCCGTCCTCATTATTGAAGTATGCGATATATATTTAGTCAAAATATCTATATTTCAAGCTCCTATTGCATTAAAATTAAAATACTTTAAACAGGTTTACAGATTAATGTGCAGCGACTTCTAGAAATTGTAGTTGCCTCGATTTTATTAGCATTGTTATAGAACGATTATTCTATAACTTCCTTTATTTGATAGTTGCCTACTTACTGATTACGTCAATTTCCCTGCGGCGCGAATGACGCAATATTTACAAGCTACTATTAGGCTATATTGTTTTAGTAGCTGGACTGAATAATATTTGTGTTGTTTGTGAGGAAGAAATTTAAAAACTTCACTTTGGTGTGAGTTGTTGAAGTATCGAGCATGTTTTCTATGTAATTCTCTGTCGATCAAAATTCTCGGTTTCTGATTACTCTTAGTTTCTATAACTCCTTTTTGTACGCCAATGTAGTCAACATCTGAGAAGCTAGTAAAATAGAGAAAATTTAGTTAAAACAGCTTACTTGATGTCTATTGAGTTGACAGAAATGAGAGGTGAAAAGCAAAATTTTGTTTACAATTCTTGAAGCCATATCACTAGAACACACTATTTATAAATGTAATCGCTTCAACAGTTTGATGCTTGAGGGGTGAGTTTCACTTTTTTTAGATAGCGTGGTGGTAACTGGTAATATCTTCATGTCCATACCATCCGTTCATTTTAACTTAACGAAACGAGCCTTTTACGATATATATGGTTACCGTCTAACATATCATATTATTTGCTTTAAGTATCTGTACAGCGTTGCTACTATACTAGTATAATGAAACGCATTTACAATGTTATTAAATAGCGATGTCTCATGCATATGACTGAGTCACTTAGTGAGTAATTGCACACGCAATAGAACAAGTGGTACCACACTGACACAAATGCTTCAAAATACCTAATAACAAGTCACTTCAGTTATTGCATAAATTTTTATTATTTCATATACGTAAATGCGTTCTCTAATAAATCTCCAAACAGTTATAAAACTGGCTGATAGAAAGTAGAAGGTCAATTACGGCTATGACTGATGCAGGTGAATTTACTGAAAGTGATGAACGCAGTGATACATAAGTATTATATTGTGTCAGAGGAAGTCGTGCGATATAGCCACAATGTCACGTTTTTGAAGTATCTGTTATGTTTTGTTTATATTGATTATTATTGATTATAGTGCAGATTCAATTATGGGGTTTTCAATGCCAGCCTTAGCATTATAGCACGAGAACTAGTTTTCGAGTTCAGCTTGACAGTCAATCCATCGCATGTAGTGATAGAATAGACAGGCTATACCTAATCAGACAAATGATGTGGTATCTCAAAGTGCTGTTGCTATGCCATTTGGGGTTCAATAGATAGCGAGACACGTCCCAAATACCCCATTTCTAATGTAGCAGTTCCGGTCTCGGTGGAGTGTATGCAATTCTGGAAGGCTATAAATTAGGTAAAAGTAATATTCCAATCCAAGACTGCGACAAACGTGAGAACACTGACTTCGTAATAACAAAATTTCGACTCATAAACTTGAGCCTTTGCAAACAGTTTCAGTTGAACCGTGTGAAAGTGTTGATATTCCGACACCAATTACAGAGAGTTCAAAAATTCGATGCCAAATAAACATCATTTTGTCTCCAATTTCAACATCAAAAAACGCCAAATTTCGACTTTACAATCTATCGCTTCGCAATTCATTCCTGCGTGAACTGACAATAGCCCGCGCCTTATTTTATCGACTGCATATGACTATTTCGAAAAAGTCATGTTGTTATCAGTTTGGTTTCATTTTTCTCTGGTTTTCAATTAGAACAATATTGGGTAATTGTGGTAGTGTTTTTCGCTTTCAGAGACAAAACAAGTATAAAGTAGTAATTATCAGAAAAATGTGATATCAGAGACACGGCATGTCTGTGTTGTGATATCATGAAAATGACAAATAGTGAGGCCAGGTGAAAGTATGAGGCCTTCGACCAAATATTATTATTTGTGCCAATTACTGTCAATCGATCAACAAAAACAAAACGGCATGTCGTAAATCTAATTAATTGGTGAATCTGTAAACAGTTGGAATGTTATGGTATCAATCACAAAATGAATGGCATATTCTTCCGCCAAAATTAATCAGATGAGTAATCGAAATGTTGGTGGTATGAAAGAACGAATGACGTCATAATTTTCACCTGCGTCTGGTTGTGTTTAGAAACCCTTTAATAATAAAATAAATATATATAAAATATTGGTTCTAAACATAACTAAACTAGTAAAATTTTAAAATAGATTTTTCAAATGAACGACAGTTATGTTGAAAACAATTTGTTCTTTCCATCAATTCGATATTTACGTTGGTAAACAACGAATACCATCATAGTTTTGATGCCTCTTTTGGTAAATATATATATAAACGCTTCGATCTCAGGACAGGGACGCGACGGAATATCGATATCTACCAGCATTATTATAGACACGTATACCATTTTGAACGTTCTTAATTGCCGAACGTTTCGCCGTAACGCGTGTTCAGGATCAATATTCTATTGAGAAAGGCTAAAGCATTTTAATACCAACACTAAACAAATATTTTACCATTCGTGCTTCTGACGTTTCCGTGGCAGCTGGCGAGCAGACGTGCGTGCGTCAATTTGGGGGTTGTTCAGGAGAAGAAAAATGCGTATAACGCTTTCTACTCACAGACTTAAAGATCAAGTTTTTTTAAGACAAAGTATTCGGCTCACTGAGACATATAAAGGTGAAGCCCGATTTGCGAGGTTGGTAAACACAGCAGAAATATTCCGAGAAAAGTTATGGCAAATAAATAGGAACATTATAACTCCAGTGAGTTTGATTGTCATAAGATCGGTCGACTGACGGAATAGGGAGAAATTCTGGGGTTAATTTATTGTGTTAAATATGCAGAAAGTCATATAGAAGTAACGCATCGTTGCTAACGTGACTATTTATATTAGAATGCTAGTAACCTAGATAATCAAAAATGTAAATTACCATATTGCAATTTCACAAATTATTTTGCACTGGTTAACAAAACACAGAAACATATTAAAATTCAAAGTACCACTTTGTCTTGTTTCATACTGCTTCCCGCTGGTTTATTCCTAATTGGTACATTAACTGCGGTACTTTTTATTAATTAGTTCAAGTCCAACATATAAAACAAATTGGAGAAAATGGCATCCATTTTTTGGGAGAAACATAAACTAAAGGCTAGAACTAAATATATACATGAGTCACCTTGAGTGAAAAATTTGTCAACTGGATTGTACAACAGGTTTGATTAAAGATTTCAATCGATTAGTTTGTATTCTATATTTAAAATCTCACAAAGACGCGAATCGGCATTAACAAATTGCAAGAATGAAAATTTATGGTAATACATTAATCATGTGTACATTAGTCTAAATTTACGTATATGTCAGGGTCATCGTTGGCGTTGAGTTTAGGTAGAAAAGCTTCTCCTCTTTATACATGTGTGAAGAAAATTAAAATATAAATTCACGAGTGTTGTATTCAATACTTAATATTTACTCAGATTCTACCAACAAGCACGTGTCATAAATAATTAGTGAAAACTCAGATTAGGTTTTTGAAAATAATCCGAATGATATTACTTGAAATATTGTTCTCAGTGGGGTGCTTTTAGTCCGAAGTTTCATCTATCCACGTATTTTGTTAATATCAGTTAACTTACTGTTTGAATTAACTTTCGAAATTAATCTACGGATTACCTTTGTATTAGCTCAGAGGCGACTTGTAACTTGCGAAATAATATCGCTGGGAAAATATTTGAATCTCATTAAAATGAAATTAATATAATATGGAGAGGTCGGATCAACATTAATCTTTCAGTGCATTGTTTATTTAACACATCACGTGATAGACACGGTATAACATTGTCTCGGCATTAGCTGCGTTGCTTGTATAGCTTAACCATTCACTCTGTTCTGTTGTGTATATAGAGTAGTTCTTGTCACTGTCACTGTCTCTAGCTTTAGCCTATAAAACCTACATACGAAATCACTATGCATGGAAGCGGCGGAACAACAGAAAGTGAGGATCAGAAATCAAGTAAGTCTGATTTGATTCAAACAGGTCTTTATATTACAGTTCATTCTTGCAAAGCGAGAGACAAAATTATCATTTGTAAGTCGCTTGTGGCAGCTTTTCAAACAATTTTGAAAATGATAGACAATGGCAGATAAACATTTTATTAACAATACTATTTAATATGAGTGATATTCAGGTTAATACAATAACTTTTGTATACAAGAAAAACAAACATATGCGCGTAAAGTTTGGGAGGATTGTTGCAGTTTGAGAATGTTATCTGTGAACGCACAATAGCCCACCCATGATCCTAAAGTAAAGAAGGAAAGCTCAAAATCAATATAAATCCAGACATGAATGTTGCGTCTGAGAAACTTGACAAAGGTCAAAAAAGAGCACCCATGCGTAAAAAGAGAGACACTCTCACTTCCCGATAACAAAAGCAGAAAATAAAATTTCATTGGTTTTTCTGCACACTGTGTGAGGAAGGTAGCGATTTTTATGCGGTCTCGATTGTCACTCGGGAACTGTGCGAAAACTACCAACCTATTTATTCCTCGTCATATAATCAAATTTCAAAATGAAATTTCCTAACTTTTTAACCATAATAATGCCTTCCATTCATTTCAGTCACGGAAACGCGAAAAAATGCGTTGCCAGCTCTTGAAGAAGCTTTTAAAGCAGTCATAGAAAAAGTGGGAGAAGATCCAAGTCGACAAGGTGTGGTGAAAACGCCGCAAAGAGCTGCTAAAGCAATTTTATTTTTTACTCAAGGATACGAGCAAAATATAGCAGGTACGATTTGGTATAAAACACGTGATCTTTTTACTAATATCTAGACGTAGTAGGCTCAAAATCGTAACGGATTAAGAAAACTCGAAGTAAAAACTCATTGCCAAAAAGGTTATCATTCTGATAAGTTCCGTAGAATGGAGAACAAATGTAAATGCACGGCACTCGTGTTATACGATACGGGTCTACGTGTCTCAAAAATGTTGAAAATGTCCCACTTGAGACACGTGGGGCAAGTGGAACACGACATTTTCAAGACATCGATGCCGCCGTGGAATAAATATTTTCGATATTTCAACAGATTTAGTAAACGATGCGATATTTGACGAAGATCATGATGAGCTGGTGATTGTTAAAGATATTGATATGTTTTCACTCTGTGAACACCACCTCGTTCCTTTCGTCGGAAAGGTAGTTGTCATTTTTTTTAATAAATTTGAAAGTCATTGCTATTGGTTTATGAATGTGCATAACACTGAATATATATGAGGAGAGCTGTGTAATCAATTTTGCCATTGCGAAGGCGGTAATTTACAACTCAGAGTTTCACTTTTGCCAAAATTCTTCCTTCTAATTATTTATTGTTCTGAACCGAAATAGATTGACATTTAACTTCTCAGTCCATGTTTCCTCATGATGTTTTGCGCCAAGATATTGAAAATATTTTATCAAACGATATCATCCATTACAAGTTACTTAATCATTCTTTCTTAAACATTTCCCACAGTATTAGCCTATAAAAATTACATTACGATCTTGTTTTTAAAAGTAATTATAACAATTTCCAGGTTTCCATCGGTTATTTGCCTAATAAAAAAGTTCTCGGACTGAGTAAGTTGGCCAGGTGAGTTTTTGAATAAATCAGTTTTTATTTCACCTATTGAAACAAAATCTATTCTTTAGTATCCTGACGTCTTGTACTGAAGTTATTAATATAGTTTTTCGTTTAGAAATACACTATAATAATGTATTGTACAGCATTTCTTTGATATCTTTTTCTCAGAATTGTGGACATGTATAGTAGACGATTGCAAGTTCAAGAGCGACTGACAAAGCAAATTGCCACGGCAATAGCAGATGCTATAAATCCTACAGGAGTCGGTGTGATAGTGGAAGCACAGTAAGTATTTTTAATGATTTTCTGAATGGTTTGGCTGTGCTTGACGGAAAAAATTCAAATAGTCCATGAAGAATTATATCGTTTTGCTTTTTACCTATTTCTATAGCCAACAGGGTTTTTTTCAAAGTTGCCAAACAGAAACACAGCACGAATTAGACACGACTATAAATTGTTTTGCTGAAATCGTTGTTATTATTGGTCACGAACTGGTCATATATATCAGGGGTGGCCAACCTTCTTTCGACCGCGATCGACTGAAATCTTTAAAATAGCTCGCGATCGACTGATCTGTATAAAGATCATATATACACAAAAACGAATGAGTTATGAATATCCAGATAACTGCACACACGCATACAAAAACTTGAATAGCTGCCAATATGCTTGGCTCTGTGGTTCATTCTTAATAAAAAATTTGTATCTTTTATGTAATCATAAATGTTGCATAACTGCTCAAACTTCATTATCCAATTCACAATCTCCTCCGAGTCCGATTTTTATCTCGCTTAGAATTAAAAAAAATTGAGCACTCTTATGCCACTGCAACAGTTGTGAATGAAATTTATCACACTACTCTTGGTACTCCTGAAGTATGCGTACCGGTACCGAGATGGCGGACACCGGAACGTAGTAGACTATGTGTACCAGGTTAGGGTTAGGCCATGAATTTAGGTACAAATACTACGGGAGTCACTTGGCTGGTCCCCGAACTCGTAATAGAACTGAAATACGGAAAATTGAAATGAAATCATGACCTAACCCTAACCTGGTACACGGTTCCATTACATTTGAACCCACGTACATTTGAACCCATGACAATTGCACCTGTATGCTATTGCACCTATGGAATTTTTTTTGTTTCACGGATAGTTAAACCCATACTAACCCTAACCCATGGGTTTTAGCACCCGCATATAAATTGAACCCGTGGATATACGCATGGGTTCAAATGTACATGGGTTCAAATGTACGGTCACCCTGGTACACATATATATATCCGCCATTTTGGTATGCATACTTCAGGGTTACCTTGGAGTGAGACTTACCTACTGCGGTAGGTATTGTGGAGTCGTTTGTCAGTCAAGGTACATGATATTCGGCCCGTTCATTTCAGATAGACCTTAGCAGCGGTGAAACTTGCATTTGTTACGTAATATTATGCTTTATAGTCTATCGACTACTCAGACGTGGCGCTCGACCGACCGGTCGACGTGTTGGCCACCCCTGATATATCTGATACATTTTGCTGGACCGTCGTTGCTGTTGGTGTTGCTTGCTTATCGTGTTGTTGTTGAGCAACTTTTGGGTGCGGCAAAAATGTTTTTCTATAACCAATCAAATCCAAATTGTTCTGTACTTATAGGACGGAAGTGCTGTTGTGCTGTTTTATTTTATTAACGTGAACACTGATAATATTTTGTCAATTTTTGAATTTAGGAATTTTAGTTTATTTGGGATAACCCCTGAATTTGATGTTTAATACAATCACATTTAAGTCCAGAAGTCCTCATAGATCCAATGCATTAAGATGTTTATTGCAGTCACTTGGCGAAATGGCTACGAAGGTATAAATTATTCGCCACAACTAGACAACCGCACCCAAACACTGTAAGAATTACATAACACCCTGCTCATTTACTAGTAAAAATCCTACCCTATCGCAGACTATTATAAACCTAACAAAATGAAACTCAATTACATTTGGATAATTATCATACAGCCGTTACCGGTTACTTCAATTCTGTAATGTAGGCATACAACATCATGCAAGCACCTGAACAGTAATATTGATATGGTTCGTAAAGAATATTACAGATTTAGTTGGGCGACGAAAAATATTCACACTCCACCACCTATCTATCTACTATAGCTAAAGTTGTTATCTCATTAAGTCAATTTGTCGTGACATGGACAATGAATGGTCAAGGTATCTTTGAAAACATAGGTTTTCCATTCAAAATTAGGTTCTTTGGCGTAAGCATTCGACCTTTGTGTCTATTTATATATTTGAAAGTTGCTCTCTTGTTTTAAACATCGATTTATATGCATGACGGTGCCAAATAGACAGAAAGTCGTGTGCTGCCAATCAAGTGCAGTGATATGTGTAAAGTCTAGTTCCTTCTTCAACTGTTATCCAATTATTTGTTTGATAAATATAACGTTACAAAAAATGTTTCTATAGTACAAATTTATTGCGTTTTAATGAAATTGACAACCTATAACAGGCATATGTGCATGATGATGAGAGGAGTGGAAAAGACATCAGCAACAACTTCAACAAGCTGCATGCTAGGAATGTTTCGTGACGATCCGAAAACTCGTGAAGAATTTCTTTCTCTCACATGTAGAAGATAGCAGAGCACATATTTCTTGCAAACAAATACTCAATAAATGTTTATCGACCGAAAAAAAAACGAAATTAATTCATAGCCTGTCATGATATTTATAAAAGTTGTGAAAAAATTGTGCAATACTGCTGCAGTCTTTTGTTGTCGGTTGCAAGTTATCCTTTTGTATTCAATTTGACATGCAATTTCAATCGATGCTGTGCTGAACATTTTTACTAATAGAAACTATGATATATTTTTATTTATAATTTCAAAAAATTTACAAATAGAAAATATTTGACATACAATTTGGATGTCATAAAAAGATCAATAACACAAAAACGTTTTATTATTGAGAGGTACAAAGAAAACTTGATTTGGTTCAAAGGTTTCGATGATAAGGACTTTGCTATGAGTTTGAGCAAACAATAAGAAAAGGTTCTATAGAAATCTTTATATTTTGTTAATACTTCAATATAGAATGTATTCAGTGAAATGAGTGTACAATTCTTTATTTGTTTGCATATTGCTGGGCAAATAATAGTGCATAGTATGCTATTATGTTTAATGCATTTTTATCCATTAAATGGAACTGATAAAACATTTGATATGTCTCTTTCTTAGTTTCGTTTTTGTAGGGCTCCGCTTCAAAAAGCCAGTTGTATATATATTTGTGTTATCTAGTGATACAACGTTTATTCTGAGAATCTGTCTGTTTATTTCCATGTCCAGTCTCATAAATATATATTTCAATTTCATTTATACAATATGTTTTCAAGCATAAGAACATTTCTCATTAGAAAATAGAAATCACATTCAGAACAATTAGCAGTTGACCGTGTTAGCATATTATATTTAAATATTGGCAGTGAAATTAATGTCAGATACAGGGTTATCTGCTATCTGCGGTATAGGCCAGCTGTAATCTGGTTTAAAAAGTAGTTTGGTTTAAAAAGCAGATCTGACCTAGCGGGCATTTTTATATTCAGGTAGTAGGCAACAAACTTTGCATCGTCTTACTTTCTAAAAAAAAAACGAAGAAGAATATGATATAAGTTGACAAATCAACTTCTCCATAGAAGAATGACAACATTTCTGACGCCAGATGTTACAATATGATCACAACCAATAGTATGTCTCATAAAAGAGTACAGATGTGAAAACCTACTACATTTTCGTTTAAAATTGAGCCAAATGCATTAAAGCTTGAACTGAGAAGCAAACGTCATCGAATATAGATGTATAAGAAGTTTGATATATAGGCCTACTGAGTGACCCAAAAACAGAATTCGTAAGTTTCCTAATTAGGCTACTTCTACGAAAATGAAAAAATTTCTTTCAATACCCAGACGTTTGAGTTTCTGTTTGTGTAGGACTGTATCCAGAAGTATCAGTAATCTAGGACGCTAGTTATGTTCTGTCTGAATATGTTCCAAATAATCTGGTTGTTGATTTTGGTCACTCTGTATAGATACACGATAACATAAAACAGGTGGATTCAGAACAATGCGTATTCCACCCATCCCACAGGTTAACATTCGTTTCACGCAATTCCTAGTCTTTGCCCATGTTATACAACTTGTTGTCAAGGATTATATTGCTGCGCCATTTGAATATTAAGGTATGGCGGTAACAAATTGTTAATCTAATCCATCGCAATCTAATTGAATAAATATTGAAAAATATAAAGAAATTGAATGCAAAAAATACAACAAATGCCGAAATTGGATGACAAAAACTTTGACCAGCATTTCATATATTGAAAAATGTAGAACCTCTTTGGGACCAACGTCCAGCGTGTGTAGGTCAAAACGCACCTTTATTACGTACTAGGTGTCGTACGCTTATACGGTTCAATAAAAACATTTAATAAGATAATAAATAAATGGAGAAGGGAGATGATTTTGCGAGCTTGTTAACAAAAACGGCAATCAGGGACTGCGCAAAAACAGAGATATTGTAATAAAATAATTCAAACAAAAATTACAAATTCTATAAATTAATAGTGGAAGTTAAAACAGGGAAATGCAAAATTCACATGAAACTACAAAAAATTACATGGAGATAAATTATTTTTTCTCCCACTTCTACACAATAATCTTGTTTCTTTTTAATCGCCTCTTTTCAGCCATGAGACAAGCTTTCTGATGTAACCTAAAGTGAAGGACTTCGACATTCATTCGCATTGCAACAGCCGTGATTTCGTTCAGAAAAACTTCGGAACTTCGGGAAAGGGCAAACTTATAAGATAAAGTTAAATGGGTTATCATTACCATTTTAACTCATGAACAATTCTGAATAAAAGTTATCAAGAAATATTCACAAATTGCATATACAACTTTTATTCTACAAGCATGACTTTGCAACCTATGAACTCTTATATACATTTATAAAATTTTCAATTTTTGGACACGTTAGTGGACAAAACGATCGTTTTGCATTTTATTATGGCACTGTTCACTTTTCTCTTTAACTACTTGATTAATCGCTTTGGAATTTTCAGTGCTCAAAGATTACATTTTTTGCTAGAAGGTGATTACTTTTATTCATTTCAAATATTCCGGTTAGCTGTATGGGATTCGTTTTTTGTTTGCCATAACATCATCGACACCCGCCACTAGGTGGCGCTACGTGTCCATATATTTGAGCATAGTTCTGTTGTTTCGTATATACAGCTAAAAACTCTTGTGTTTTAACCTAATGATTTTGTACATCATGAATTAAATTTACAATTTCTTCAGGTTACCATGTTATCAAACAATAAGCTTTTAATCATCTTGCGCAAACTCCTGCTCCACAGGGCTCGATAAAGTGCAACAACGGAGAGTAACAAAGTTCGCAATGGCAGCAGTGCGTTCCTTACATAGAGGCTAATCCAGAGGTGTGCAACCTTTAATACGGGAGGGCCAGATACAAATAACTGAATGGAACCGCGGGCCGCACTTTATTTAAACAGGCTTTCTAGTAGTTTTAGGCACATAAATGTTGGTTATTGATCGTATGACATGCGTTGTACGCTTCGCACATGCTAGCTGTTAGATAAATTGGACCCAAGAATAGGATTTGAGATTGCGCAAAGAGATTGAAAGTACTCGCACGCCAGATTAAACTAATTTAGAACTCGTTTCGCGGGCCGCACACTATTCAAATTGACACTTCTCTGCGGGCCGCACAATTTTTGTCTGTGGGCCGAATTTGGCCCGCGGGCCGCAGGTTGCACAACCCTGGGCTAATCGCTAACGTCCAGCTCAAGGGTTCCCAAGCTTTTTGAAACAAATTCTATGACAGACAATTTATTCAATGATCCCAGGTCTTGTGCACTAAAACAAAATATTAAAAGATCACAACAAAAAACCAATGCGCCGTATAGTGAAACTCGTTGAGTGAAACGAACAAAAGAATAAAAAACGCAACTCTCATGCCATGTGTGACATTCAGCCTGTTTCGATATTTGGTAAACGTGCAAAAGGGCAACGTCAGACACGGCTCTGCTGTTAGTAAATTTGTGGCTCTTTGTGATATCACAAGCCCACAGCTCTGCGACATCACAATGGGGAAGCGTGTGATTGGAACAGAAAGTAAAGAATCAGTGTCTCCAGCGGTGATTGCAAAGCAGAAAAAAGCGACAAATGTGTATTTGCAAGATTAAGCACTTGATTCTTGTATTATCAAGTTATTAGCCATATTACAGATTTGTTTCGCGGACCATCCAAAAGAGCTTAACGGACCTCAAAAGGTCCACGTACCCCAGTTTGGGAACCTAGCTAGTCGACTCGTATCCTCTGAACTAAAAATCACTATTCTTGAACATTGAGTATTCAGCAAACAGATTCAAAGCATAAACCATAACATGTTGTTATAGTCCAAAAGTGTAGTCTACTGATTTTGTAATCAGTTTTTATTTATTTTGTTTTATCAAATATCGTCAAAGAAACTTCTCATAATTTGTATATATAGCTCCTTTGATCATGTTTTGTTATTTTTACTTGTTTTTGAACATATTGGATACATAAATTGAATACACAAATATATTTGCATTTTGAAAACGAGTCTTAGATACCTCATCATCTGAGCTGGTAGTTTGTACTTTTTAGCCACTATAATTTTTTCACAATAGATCACTATTTTTATCATGTCACCCATAATATATATTTACATTTGGGAATAAAAAATTTTGCAACTCACAATACACAGTTGATACCTCGTCTTTGTCCCACTGCTATTAAAATTGCTTTATGTGTCAAATTAGAATTTGGCCCATATTCAACAGTCAAACATGAAATAACAAACTCCAAAAAAGTAATGTATAAATTAACAGAGATAGAATAAATATAGTGCATGCGCTTTTCCAATGAGCATAAATACATGCTCATTGGCTTTTCGTAGGGCCTGATTCTGCCACGATTGTGGTTACTCGCTGCCCACTAGATGGCCGTTTTCACCTACTTTGGTCGACAATGGCGCCAGGCGTTTTACTTTCTTTACTCTTTATGTTGACTTTTACGCTGCCCTACGCCAACTTTTATGAGCGGGTTCCCAGCCGGTCGCCATTGCTCTATTGGGCGTTCTCACTATCTCTATTCCTTATTATTTTTATTATGATGTTCACTGAGCAGAGTTTTTTTTAATCAAGTCCGAGCTTAGTGGGCTACAATACCAGTGGGAGGTACGGTGAGTTCAAAAGTTCCGGCGATGCATCAGTTTCGGAGTTTTCTGTCAGTCGCAAAAGCTTCACTTGTTACTGTATGTTTCAGGTTTTTAGATATCAGTTACTGCAGGAACAACACTATCAACTTATTTTATAGCCTAATATTGCCAATTTATTGTACCGGTACCGTGCCCAAGAGAAGAATGTCTTTGATTTGAGAGAATCTAAACACATTTCTGCATTTAGCCTAGAAATTTAGTTAACGTAAAAATTCTTTCACCCACAATTCTGGCAAGCACTTTCATTTGTTGCAATTTTCTGTACTAAAGGCATGAAAAAGATGTAGACTATCCTGCTATCTGACTATCTAGTTCTATTTTACTTGTAGATTGTATGTCAATAAATTCTAAATGCTGGAGTGTACAGATGTGCATAGAATATAAACAATTATGATATTGTTTGTTTGCAAAGCATCATCGAACAGGTTAAAAATCTGAAAATGCCTTTTCAACAGCCCAACATTTTTCAGATCAGCAGATAGGCTATTGATGTTGATAAATTCACTTACGCATTACACAAAGTCCTAAAGGTATTAATTTCGAAAAGAAACCTGTTAAAATTGTACAATATCTGAATGTGATATTGAATGGTGAATATTTACAATATTCAATTAGTGGTCAAAATAACTTATATAGGGATTCTCTGATCATGTTTTTCATTAATGGTAACTAATGACTACTCACTATGCTAAACTTTATAAATCTCACAAAACAAGACACTGAATCAAATAAATGTTTGTAATTATTCTGAAAATGGTGAAGCAATGTATCGAAGCTACTTTTATTTTTTTCATTCTTTTCCTTCGAATAGATATTGAGAAATTAGCTGAATATACATTTAACAGCAAAATTGCAAACTTTTGAATCAAGATTTTTTGAAAATCTTATCAATTTTCAATGTGTATTATTATTTTCAAATGTTTTATTGAGTTAATGGGATTTTCAGAGTTTAGAACCTATTTATTCCATTGGTTTTAACGTAGACTACTTTTATCTTTGAAATGTTATATTTTTATATAAGCAAGCTTATTTGTACTTGTTTATAATTCTATAGTTGGTAGTCAATTTTTTTTGTCTTTCTCATCAATTCAACAATGCAATGTGTTGCATCTTAAACCTGATGTGAAAATTCTACAAAACGTACATAGAGTAATAATCATGTTCATTGCATGAAAACAGATTCATACTTTTGTAGGAAAAAATTTATCATCTTGAATAGGCAGATATCAGCAATTCGGTCACATTTTACGGGGGTGTTCGTCAATTGCACATATATGAAACAAGACACAGAAAAAAATCTTCAGATTCAATTACCTTTCTGCGTATCTATAGTTGTGTTTCACCCAAATATGAAAAAAATACAGTCATAAATAGTTATGGTTTAATAAAACAGTGAATTTCCAGGTAGAGTACTAGAAGTAACATATTTATGTGAAATTAACGAAAGTGGGCATGAAACTTTTCAGAATCAGATTTTGATTTCATTTTTTATTTGTAAAAATATGGTGTCGTTAAGCTAGAATGTCAGTATATCACTTGCAATGTAGTATTGTTAAAATCTGAATATCTATATGAAAATATGTTATTGCTAAACTAAAACTAGAGACATTGCCTTGTGGTATAAAAGGGACATTATTCAGTAGTGCATAGTTTATGCAGAATGTTAGAGGTAAAATTAGCTATTGTAACAAAAATGGCAAAATTTGTAATTAGATTTTACTGAATTTGGATGGAATCAAATCTTCTTACATTAGACCAGATAAGCCAGTTGTAAGGCAAAATGTGATTTGCTTATTGTGTAAAATTTATTAGGAATTCAGGAAGCTAAATAATACTATGAACTTTTCGCAACCGACTTCTAAACTTTAATACTGAATATTCCACCTCTTTGAATCAAAGATTTATAACTTCTTGTGTCCTGATTGACAATTTTTTTACAATCCTGGATATAAAAGAGTTCATAAGTCTTCAGTGTTGAATAATTTCATATTTCTGTTGTCATTGTGCTCTAACAATTTTTTATTTACATTTATGTTTATGCACAGCTTTTTAAAAATAGAAAATTGGAATTTTGGCTGTGTATCAGCTCTGCAGGAATATTCAAATGGATTATGTTTGAACTTATCAATTTGTACGGGAATTAATGAATCTTCTTGTTATGACAAGCGGATCCAGTAACGGAGAAAGGACTTACATAGTTTTTTGAATAGGAAGGAACCTAACTGTTCATTTCTTAATACAGACGGATTTTTCCTTCAAAACACTCTACATGAAATGGTCAGTCTCATACCCTTCTTATGTTATCAATATTATGGTAGAATGTGTCATCCTACTTTTTATTTGTGTTTGCTATTTATCATCAAGTATTCAAAAATATGACTTGTTTTTTTAAAATTATTCAAATAATATTCAAAAGTTATTAAAAATTCCCAGTGGTTTGTTTTTGTTGAATATGAAAATAATTTTTGAATAATAATTTGGATATTTATTAAAACATCACTGTTATATTTTGTAATTCCCTCATTCATGGTACTTTAAATGTGGTATTATCATAACTTTTAGTTATGAGGAAAGGTAATATGCCTTTCAACTTGTGTTGTTTAGATGAAAATGACTTTTTAGACACTTTTTTTTATTAACGCTAAGGAATTGTTTTGAGAATTGTATCTTGAAATGAAATAATCTCACGAATGTACAAGTTGTGGGAAATCACGAATTTATGTAATAAAACTTTGTACAACTATGTATTCAATTTGTTTGTTTTCTGAAAAATAGGTCGGAAATATTGTTTTATTTTCATATTTTAGGTACCGGTAAACATGAATGCATTCTTTGCACTAGGAAATAATATTTGCAAAATAAGACTAAATTTCATTTATAATGCTGATAATCATATAGCTACTGACTTTTGATATAGATTGTTGTTTACTTTGTGAATTTTTTGCATATTGAATAGTATGCAGAGGTTAAATTGTCAAAATCAAAATATGTTCCAGCTTTTTCTAAACATGAAGAATGGATAGTTTTCTTGATGGCAAGAATTTTGGCAGCCTTATGTGCTCTAGCAGTGTTTGACGTTTTTTATAGGATATATTGCCTGAATTGAATTTTATATTTTTTATAGTCTTATGTAGATATATCATTTAAACCTTTTCATTATTCGGACTTAAGCTTTAGTAGCCTATGCTTCAAAACTCCAGACCATTGGGGTGTGGAAGACATCACTATAATGATTGTCTGTCATGTAGAATCTTGAACTGATGATATTTGGTATGTTATGAAAATGTTGACACACACATTCATGTTTTTCCAATGTTAAGCAGTTGGTCTATGGGTTGTTGTTTAAACTTTTTCAATTCTGTTGCTCTAAATTCCCTCAAATACCAAGTGAATTGAAGTGTCAATTGCCATTTATGCATTGTTTTCGCTTCAGATAGTCATTGATTAACCCATTTTATTATTTTTGGCAGAATGTATCATGAAAAAAGTTGAGCCTTGGAACAGCGTTCGTGTCACCTTCAGCATACCGAAGGAGGCAGCGAACAGACTGAAACAATTAGCTCAGCAAAACAGTGATCAACTGAAACGATTGGGTATACTCTCAGTTCAAGTAGAAGGTAAAATCTTCATTTTACAACAGAAAAATTGTTATATTGTTTCTCGAATATCATACAGATCATCAGATGTTTGTAACAGCACAATTAATAAGCACAATCAAACTATTTTTGTTATTGTGGAGTTGACTCCCTTCGCATGAAGGCTCCTTATATTATTTCCAGGCGATCATTCGACTCCCCAAAAATTTATGCTGCATTGTGATTGTATGGACTTCGATTGGTGTGTTTATAAGGGCAGGGTATTTTTGTACAGTGTTTCAAAATTTATTTCAATGTTTATGTCATATACTAGCTGTCCCACAAATGCACGTTGCAGTAATCGTAGATTAGTTAGGGCTGTCATTTTTTTTCGAAACTCAGAACTGCATACCGGGTAATTAGGTACTATGTGGCCAATCCTAACTGCTTGGTTGTGAACTGTTTTGATCCAAATTTAATGTCTGTATCGTGAATGCTATTACTTTTTATTGTCAACATCCATAACATGTTTATTATTTGTGAATTTTGCTGGAAAATGTATGAACTCATTGTAGAGGTCACCACAGAAAATAGAATATGGTTGTGAAAATAATACTTCATCTTCAAGTATAAGGTATCATATCCTTGTGTTGTACAGTTAGTTTTCTGATGTAGTTTTTGATGCAATATCATGAATATTCTGTTGACTAAAATAGCTAAGATGTTTGTTTAGTCTTTTAGGGTTTCGTAGCAATAGTTTGTCAGCTTTACTCTTACAACCTTCTGACTCAATGAATGGCATTGTGATTGAAAATGCATTATTTTGATAGTGTTTTGCATTGCACATAACTGAATTAACTGCATTCAAATGAAATTAGAATGTCGCTCAATTAGAAAGCCTTAGCCTTAATGGTGCCTGTGGAAAATTTGTGGAGCAGCTGGAGGTTAGTTTAGATATCATGTTTTAAACCAGCATATTGTAGATGTAAGTTAGAAAAGGGGAGAATGCATTAAAGTCTGCTTATGGGATATTTCAGAAAATAATTTAATGATGGGGAAATTCTTATGAGAAACTGTTTCAGAAAGACTGATTATGATTATGGTAACATTGCTGTGAAAACCAAAATTAACTGTTGCATTGATGTCTCTATGGGAATTTAAAGTAAATATTATTTAGTTCTGTGTTTTGTGAGTTCATTTTTTTATATGCCTTACTAGCTTATGAAGATAGGCCTATTGAATTTTTATAATGGTGAAATTAATATTCCAACACACAAGTTGTTGCAAGGTTTATATTTATGAAACAAGTAACACAGATTCATAGTCACAAGACCGTTCCTTGAGAAATTATTTTTGCTAAATTTGAAGTCAATTTTAAAGTTATTTTGGCATGGGGTTTCAACCTAAGCTATTACGACCCACACCAACATAGCAAACTCAAACTTGCCAACCAGAGGGACATTATGTATGCTTATGTATAGCATTTGCATATTCACAGTAAAATCTCTTTCTATATTAATGTGAGTTTTCTGATATTCTGAGTTTTCTGTTTATCATGATTTAATATAAAGAGCTGGAAAAAACAGATATTTAAAAAAGTTTGTTTAAACTAAATTGGCAAAATATTTTATTTTCGAATATTTTCATCTCAAAGATTATCATTCACATCTGACAGTTCGACTAATAGATTCTTCATTTGACCGCAGAATATAGAAAATCAGTCAAAACGATGATTATATAACTTTTTTGATTATCAAATTCAATCACATGAATAATATGTTTGATTTCAATTATGATTTGTTTTTTCAAAAAAAGATTTGAATGTTTGAAACAGACAAGAATTACTTTACCTTTCCTGCTACGAGTAAAAATTCTATTTAATAGTCTACTTAGGTACATTTTAGATATTTTTTAAAACCTAGGCCTGTACCGATCTATTAACAAAAAAACAGAGAGGGATATTGTGGCAAGCATAGTGCAGGATATGACACCAAGATCAACGTTGTGCTACATAGAATGGTATACCGGTAGTAAATAAAATTTATGAATGAAACAGGTATTTGTAGAACAGAATAAATTCAGCACAAAGCTTCTTCCTTTACATGTCGTTAGATGGTTTTGTTATGAAGTTTTTCAATATTTGGTTGGAATAAGGTTGGATAAATAGAATTGGATTTTGATATTTATTCCAAGGATTAGGAACGCTGGAAGGACAGCTCAATCATAATTATGGCAAACACCGGCATAGGGAAATTTAATCAGGTATTGGTTTTAGATGCATGGACTTGATGACAGAGGAAGCCGTAGGTTAATTAAACACCATAGGACTGTGAAGAGTCCAGCATATACCTTTCACACATAATTATCTTCCACAGGATTCAAACCTGCGCAGGGTAATGAGAGGGAGGGACAGCACATCTATTCCTAACACAATGCTGGTGGTGGAATGGCTTCATATAGGCAGTAACTTTGAATTTAGGGCAATCTAGTTCAATGCTTTAGGTGATGACTCGTTCGTTGAATGATTTCGAACGTATCTGAATTGATGAAAAAGTTTGATAGATGTGCCAACATCTGTGTTATGTTTTGTTATTAAAATTTTGAAAACAGCCAAGTTAGTCGTGGTGGTATTATTAAAAGTATAGGAATTAAAATACAACCCAAATTGAAGTAAAGGTGAAAAGGGCAAGACAGATGGTGTGGGACAGTCGGCCTTCCAAGTTGCATTTGTCAGTAGTTCATTTCTGCCACATTATTAGTTAGAAAAATATTATTATTTATTGGCATCATGTTCTCTTGTGTTCCAGTTAAGTAAAGATTCACCAATTTTCAAGTTTTTTTTTTTATTACTTTCAGCTATAGTTGACTCTCTGTGAGAAATAGATAGTGTTGATTAGAATCACATAAATAAAGCAATCTAAGAGGTTTCTTGCACCTTCTGAGGAGGACAATCCATTATCCAGCTTTACTGTATCAAATGCCAATTTAATTTTTAATGCAAGGGGACAAGTATAGTGATTAAGAACGATGAAAAATAAACAAGAAAATGTTTCTGATTAAGTATACAATATCAGAATTTGTTGTTAAATGATTTTACCAGTATCTTTTAGCAGAGTCAGTTGTTGATTTGAGGCAGTGGTTTTTAGCAGGGGTTCCACAAGTTACTATACAAATCCGAAAGACCATATTAATATATGTATACTGTTCAATTATGATCAAATACCCACTACGTTTGCCATTATTATTAAACTTGCCTCGCTTTCAAAATCATTTAGTTTTGCCAGAATTATGTTTGTTATTATATATAATCATAGTTTATTATACAGTTCTGACAATGAAACACAGCTACACTATTGTACAGAGGTTCCTAGAGCCTCTGGAATGTTTCATTGGTGTGCCGCTCCATCAAAAAGGTTGAAAACAACTGTATTGGAGTATGGAAAGTTTTCTCAATTTGCCAGGATGCTGCAGTGTATAGGTGCTGAATTCACATAAATAAATTCTATGCTGTTGGTAATTTTTACATACCCCTAATTGGTTGAAGAAAAATGAGTTTATATGAGTGCAATTCACATTTAATTTCATTGAGAGTGTTGGGATTGTAGATTGTATAGTAAAAGAGTAATCAGTGAGAATATGACATTAATAATTAAGTTTTGTGAACTGGGATTTGATTTCCCAGATGAAAGTAGTGGATAGTAGAGAATCCCATAGGAAGAATTTCAAAACTCATTACATGTGTAGAAATCAGGAGGAGATGAAAGAAATCCTGACTCTCTCTTCAATAGTTGGTTGATATACACTGGTTCCAGTTTGATCTGCAGACTGCACCAAAAAAATAGTCTAATCATTTGATAAAATGTGGTCATCCAGTATCATCACAATACTTACATTGTGGTTCTAAACAAGATATTGTCTCAGCTGAGGAGTGATATATAATTGTGTTAGTCTGGTATGAGACTCTGGTATGAGACTCTTTTATCTGTTACCTGTGTTTTCAGTAGTAAATTTTTAAAATATTGAAGCTGACCTCATCTAACTTGTGGAGATGCTTTTTATTTAGCTGTATTAATAAAATAATTGAATTGGCAATTGGCCAAGAGAAGTATGCTATCTAGATGAGCCAGAATACATCTAATTTCACTGATCATTTTAGAATGGTCTGTGATGTCATTCAGCATGCTGACATTAAGATTTAATGGGGAGTGAATAGGTTTTGTATTGCCGTCTTCAAGTCTGGTTTCTTACTATAATTTTTTATGTTTTCTATACCCTAACTGTCTATGTAGTAAATAAATAGCATAGCAAGATTAACATCGCGTTTGTAAGTGATTATGTATTCTAAAGTGAATGGCGAGTTTATTTACTTCACATATATTTAGAAATGAGAGTTTATTGTTCTAATCAGTTTTTCAATGAAATCATATAAAAAAAACTTTATTTATTTCAAAATTGCTTCCCGAGAAATATCGTGGTATTTTGGGTATCTCTTCTCGTGTTTGGATTTGTAATGTTGCTTAGAATTATATTCTTTCGTGACAGATATTACTTGAAAACACCAGACACTGTGGTTTAACGTTGTTGTGGGTAAGGAAATACTTTTACTCTCAGTTAACTTTGGTCACATATTTCATACACTCATTGTGTGATGAATTTATTACTTGTGGCGTGAGCAGGCCTAGTGACCTCGGACCCAGATAAAAAAAAGTTGATTGCGCTGCGCGCGGCGCAACTCTGCGGTTCGTCACTGCTGTCACATGGCCATCGCTTAAAAATAGAGGAGTGTTTTGACTAAAATAAAGGAATAAAATGTCTCTTCAAATGAGGAGTTACTTTACGCTAGATCATCTTGTCGGCTTGGTCCTGTCTGCACAAGACAATTCATTCTCCTTTCACCGATCACAGGACATCATTCCTATATAGGGACCGTCTTGACGTTTATGAATACAACAATGAAAGATTTTAACAAACATTAATCCAGACATCGGGATTAGGAACGGGACTATTTCCAGTTGGAATAGTTTGAAAATAAATCAAAATTG